CTGCCAGTGGAAAAACTTTGACCTTGAACCCAGAACTAGGTTTGAGACTGTGTCTTTTAGCAAGTCACTTCATCTGTCTACATCTCCACTTCTTCATCTATTAAATGGGGATGGGGATTTCTATTTCTCAGGGATTTTATGAGACTCACATGAGATAACATGTAAAAAAAAAGTGCTTTATACACCCCTCAAATACTGTGAGGGTATTGCCATTTGTACTTCTAGGATCAGCTGGAATCCTGCCTCCCTGGGTAGCCTGCCTTGACCTTGCTTGTTGCCACCAGCTTGTTTCTTATCTTAACCACCTATTGTGCTTTTTGTCTGTATTTATTTGTCTGGTTAATAGGGATGTTTCAAGTTGACACCCCAGTCAGACTGTATATTCCTTGAGAACAAGGAATGTGCATCTCAGCCACAAGGTCCAGAAGGGAGCTCAGTAAACACTTCTGGGTCTGCATGAGGACACATTTAACCAGGGCCATGTTCAAGTTATAGATTCCATATACCACGTATTGTACAGGACCGCCCCATGGTCACAGGAAGGCCACCAAGAAGGATAAGAGCAGGGACTTTGTAGAAAGAGAAACCGGAGTGAGAAATACATTTCTGATGATCTGGAAAACTTAGATAAAATATATTTTTACTAAAAAATAAATAAACCAGAGAATTGTAATGTGCCATGTCTAGAATTATCATTAAAAAAAAAAAATCTGGTCTTTGCAGTGAATTCTAGGACCCATCTAGGGAGAGAAAATAAGGCACATGTACTTTAGGACATGAAGCCTCGTTGACCTAAGAAGGACCAGCAACATGACCCAACAAACTGGTCAATATCAGCCTGACCAAGAAATGAAGCCCTGACACAGTGGTGACTTGGCGACAAGCAGCCGTAGGGCCAAAGTCTGACTGCGACTAGTGCTCAGATTAGCCTGGCAGTGGGATCATTAACATCAGCCATGGTGGAGAGCCTTCTAGTGCTCCCATCCCGTCTATACTCATCTCACTTGATCCTGACCAAGAAGACAGGAGAAGGCTCCCATTTCACAGATGAGGCCATCAGGGCACTGAGAATGCATTTTCTTGTTCAACATCAGATAGCGAGACAGACGGGTTACCAGTGTATTAAAACCAGTATTAATACAGTGTATTAATCAGTGTATTAAAACCAGTCCTCCTAACTTCCTGTCCCCTGGTCTGTTGGCTTGAGAGGCCCAACCTGTGGTTGATGGGGTGAGGTCAACTGGGTGCATCAGTTGGGTCAAGGCAGGTCTTACCTTCACATTTAGCTGTAATTCTTCGTGTTGCTGATTCAGTGATGGCAGTGCTACACATGTTTGTCTGTTCTTCCAAGAGTCAAAATTAGACAGATATCTCTGGGCTGTGTCAAGGTTAACTAGATAATCCAATTGAAGTCATGCTGGTCCCAGAGCACTAATGTAAAACAGGTACCTGAAGTAGAGCTCAGACATTTAAACCAAGAGTCTGCGTGAGATTCTCAACCTTTCTTTTTCTCAGTGTGAAGACTTTGCTGTTTATTTTTGCTAAAGTCATTATCTCCTACCATTAAGCAGTAGAAAGAGTATGTTTTGGCCTGGGAAGAGATGGGTTCTAGTCCTAGCCCTGCTGTTAATTAGCTGAACTGTTCTAGGTTAGTAACTCAACCTGACCGGGCCTCAGTTTCCAGATCTGTGAAATGGGGACAACAGCAGTGCCTGCCTTGCCCATCTCACATGCAGGTGGAATTAGACAGGGAGCACCTACGTGTCTCAGGACTTCTATATATCTGCTCACTGACTGTACCGTCTCCAGGGGCTTATACAGGCACTAGCTTGTGACCTTGAGAAGTTGAATGTGATGTCTGAGTCTCAGTTCCCACATGTGTAAATCATGCTCACAATGCCTCCCATAATTGTCCCACTAAGAGGATTATAATGAGGTACTATATGTAAGGTTCTCAGTGCAGCATCCAACATAAAAGTGTCAGTAAACATTTGTGCCGCCAAGGGAACATAGTAGGGGCCAAATCTCCAAGGCCACTGCCGGACAGAGGGCCACCTCCAGACAGCCTTTTCCTTCCCTGGCTCTTCCTCTCTGTCCGCTCTTCCACTTCAGGGAAAGGGTGATGGCAGAGGGAAGCACTGTGTGTGCAGATCTTGGCATGAAGGTCACAGCCTATGCTGGTGTCTGTTTCACTCAGAATGCCTTCTCTTGTTGCTGTTGTTGTTTAGTTGCTAAGTAGTATCCAGTGCTCTTTGCTACCCCTGGACTGTAGCCCACCAGGTCCCTCTGTCCATGGGATTTTCCAGGCAAGAATGCTGGAGTGGGTTGCCATTTCCTTCTTCAGGGGATTGCCCCAACCCAAGGATCAAACCCACATCTCCTACATTGGCAGGCGGATTCTTTACCACTGAGCCACCAGGAAAGCCCAGGCTTTCTCTAGAGGCTCCTAATGGTTGGTCATGTGTTGATGATGCTCTTTTCAGAAAGCGTGGACATAGGTGCTGGAGAGTGGAATCAATGTCCTAAAGATACCGGCTCTCCTTCACCTGCTGCCCTGACACACAGGTGCAGTGGGTACAGTCACAGCATCCTGTCTCTTTCCCACCCTCCCTTCCTGGGCCAGGACGCCTACAAACCTTGACCAACTGCTTGTGCTCCACAGTCAGAGGTCAGGATTTAAAGGCAAATGGGAGGGACTAGTATACAAACTGCCCCTACTGGCTGGAGCAAGAGCAGGATGATCCTACGGGCAGGCTCTGAGGAATGGGTGTGAGGATGGGCGGGGTGCTAGGCCCCAAGGTGTAACAGCTGAAAGTCAGCGTGGGGGAGGGGGGGTGGCAAGGAGGAAGCAGGTTTGGTAAAGGAAACAGAAAATAGATAGGGCAAGAAAAACAATCCCACCCATTTCACAATTTTTCAGAAGGTTCTTCTAGACCATCGAGAGCTGCTGGAGTTTCTTCTTGCATCCTGAATCTACGATGCTTAATCCATCCAAGGAGCTGGATGTTCTGTTTTTTTTTTTTTAAATAAAGCATGTTGTAAAGTCAAAACAGTCTGCCCCAAATCTTGAGGGGTTTGAGAGATGGCGTCCCCAAATCTTGAGGGGTTTGAGAGATGGCGTGTCAACATTTGGGGAAGCCCCAAAATACTGATTATTTTTTTTCTGTCCAGATAACAGGGTGCAAAGCCAAACAAAAGAAGAAGTAACCTTTAGTTTTAGAACTCTCAGGAGAAAGGATAGACAGAGCAAGCCAGAGCTGGTTGGGTGAGGCCTTGAGAGCTATGAGCGTCATTGGACACTTGTTTATTAAACAAGCAATAGAGGTATTTTATAGAAACATAAGAAAATATGGATAAGCACTTAAAAAAAATCTCCTCCTTACCTCACTGACCTGACACTGTGAACATTTTTGAAGATAGGGAGGCAGGACATCGTTGGTGGGTACAAGCCTAGATGCCTGGTGTAGAGTCCCACTTCCCTACCTAGGGGCTGTCTTAGAGGCTGCAGGTGAATTATAGCAGTCCTCCCCTTATCCGTGGTTTCACTTTCTGCGATTTCAGTTCCGCACAGTCAACCCCAGGATGAAAATATTGAATGGAAAATTCTAGAAATAAACAATTCATAAGTTTTCCGTCTCATGCCATTCTGAGTAGCATGATGAAATCTCCTGCCGTCCCACCCAGGACATGAATCATTCCTTTGTCCAGTGTATTTGTGCCGTATATGCTACCTGCCCATTAGTCTAGGGAAAAACAGTACATGTAGGGTTCCTGGACTGTTGGTGGTTTCAGGCATCCACTGGGGATCCTGGAATGAATCCCTGCGAATAAAGGAGGGACTATGATACTTGACCTCTATAGACCCATTTCCTCATCTGTAAATTAGGGATAATAATAACTACTTCCAAGGGTAGTTGTGAGAATTAAAGAAGCCAGTCCAGTAGTGCTTACCACAGTCCCTGGAATATAGTAAGCACCATATACAGGGCAACTGTAAGAATAATAATCATTAGTATTTTATTATGTTTCTAGATTTTTCCTATATAAGAAATGTTATGTATAATACATGTATTTCCATGAAGATAGGATTCTGCTGTACTCTTTTGTAAATTTTTACTCTCATGCTTATCTTTTCATGGACAATTTTGTTATTACTATTAGCTAACACTGCTTTACCATTGGAATAGACCTGGCATTAAAGATTTTCCACATGTTATCACATTCAGTCCTCAACATTAACTCTGTGGGGCAAGTACTGTATTATCATTTTACAGATGAGAAAACTGAGGCTAACCAGTTTAAATAATATAAATGTACAGAGCTGGCGAGTGGACCTTTCTCCTGCAAGGAGAAGGGAGAGGAGACTGACTGGAAGCCTATGCTGGTAGATCAGAGAGGAATCGTGTCTGTGCTTGGTCCTTTTTAACCCTTGGCAGGTGTGTGCTTTGGGACATCAGACTGACAGGTGTCCGTCTGGTTGACTGCTCCTGGGCTCTAGTGGCGTTTTCCATTTTTGCGATGGAAATCACTGATATGAAATGGAATCTAAGGTCCAGTACTGGGCTTAGTTGTTCAAGCAATTTACCCAGAAGCAGTTCTTCATCTTGTTCTCCAGAAGCTTTGACACAGCCATCTAAGCCACTGGCCACAGCTTCCTCACACTTCCCTGTCTGTCCTGGGCATTCACCTTAGACCCCAAATAGCCCCGAGCATTGCCAGTGGATTGACTCAACCAGCAAGCCTTTGCTCAGTCTTCACCCACTGGAAGCCCTGGTGTGGACTCCGTGGCGTGCGGGATGGGAGGGCTGCTGAGAAGACACGAGATGCACACAGGCAGAGCTCCTTGTCCCCTGTGGCTCAAGTGGCCGATGTGAGCCCACATCAGCTCGGCGGGAGAGTCTGGCCATGCCTTGGATGGGGGAGTCCTGAGGATGTCAAGACTGGGGGTGTGATGGGATGGCATTGAGGTTCTGGAGACTAACCCCTGTCTCTCAACGTAGGAGCAGCTCAGAGAGGAGGAAGGAGAAGTCCCGAGATGCAGCCAGGTGCCGGCGGAGCAAGGAAACAGAGGTCTTCTACGAGCTGGCGCACGAGCTGCCCCTGCCCCACAGCGTGAGCTCACACCTGGACAAGGCCTCCATCATGCGGCTGGCCATCAGTTTCCTGCGCACGCACAAGCTCCTGTCCTCCGGTGAGGCCGCGAACCCTGGGCTCCCCGCCTCCCCCGTGTTCTCACACGCAGGAGCCCGAGTTGGAAAGTCACAGGCACAGAGGGAGGGTTTTCCTCCCCAGGAACCCCCACTCTGCACACCTTCCACCCACAGCAATGCCATCATTAGCACTTAGTCCTCTTTTGTTGAACCTCTTTCCAGTAGTGGCCTTGGCGGTGATTACAGTCATGGCTGAAGCCCTGGGCCGTGGAGGGGACACAGAGGGCTGGGGGCGTGAGAGCCGCTGGTGCTGGCTCCCAGTTTCCAGTCCAGGCTGGATGAATCCTTTAAGGAACATCTTAGTGTGAGTCTGCCGGCCAGCTTCTCCAGAAGGCAGAGGCATGCCCATATGACCCTTCCCTCTTACTAGCCAGGATGCCAGACAGATTATTCAGTGTCCATGCCCTTAGGTTCCTCATCCATAAAAGGGTTAGAATATTTATTGCTCGGGGTATCTTTAAGAATAAACTGAGATAATGTCTGTGAAGCACAGGCCCAGCCACACTGGGGAGCCCCGGACAGATAACCATCTCCCCTCAGAACCCACGAATTCTCACCTTCCCTGCTATCTCTGCAAGTCTCAAGGTCACAAAACTTTTTTCCCCCTGCTCAGAGTTCACCTTCTTCAGAATACCATTTCCTGTTAGTCCTGACCAGGAGGAGGAGGCCTGGGGCTTCTGCCAATATCAGATCTGACAGATAGAGAGTCAGTCCTTTCTAGTCTGCCAGTTGTGTAAGGAAACTGAGCAGGGGGCCGCGCCCACCGCCCCCACCCGGCCGTGGCTCTGTCAGTGGCCGCGTCCGAGGTGGTGAGCAGAGCGGGGCAGCAGGGGGAGTTCTTTCGTGCTTGGGTTTCAGTTTTCCCGAGTGAGCCGTGTACCTTGGAGCGGGGTGGACTCTGCCATCCTGTTATGAAGCGGCTATTCTGGGAAGGAAACCCAGAACAGAGGGAATCCAGTGTGAGGCGGGGAGGCCAGAGCACCATGTGCTATTCTGGGCCCGGGAGCACAGGAAGGATATGGGGGGAAGACTTTCAGAAAATAGGATGACAGAGCAGTGGGTCCAGGGGTTGGAGGGCTAACCCTGGCCTGAAAATCTAAAGCATCTCAGAAAAGAGCAGACAGGAGGGAGAGAACCCAGGGGGAAAACTTCCTCTAAAAATACTTTGAAAGAAACAGTGCAAGGCGATGGCAGACATGGTGTCATAGATGCTACAGAGAAAGGGAACCATGGGCTGAAGTGTAAGAAAGGCCTGGAAATGCCATCACAGGGCATGGATGTACCTCTTTCCTTTAAAGAAGCATGTCCTCTAGGACAGGTGAGGGCAGTGTCTGGCCATGTTGGAATCATCTTTCCATTTGCACAGAACAGGGAGTGGAGGACTCAAGGGCTAAACAAAGACCCCTTCCCCACACCCAGAAGCATCTCGTCTTCCCTGTTCCAGTACTTGAAGTTCCACTCTGAGACACTGAATGAAATTCCACTTTTAGACACTAATTTCTTTGGGTTCATCACTACTTCCTTTCACCACCATCACCCCTGTTCCTCCACCAACAGGGGTCCCCAAAAGGAGTAATACATTAATCCTGAGACAGCTCTGTGATTGAATTTGGGCTTGGAGGATGTTTCTGCTCATTTCACGGATGATTCGAAGTGAGGCACAGAAGAGTTAACTTTGCTGCAAAGTCACACATTTAGCACCTGGAGCTCAAGTCCTCTTGAATCCAATCCTCAATCCAGGAGGGCAGGAGCATTCTGCAGACTTGGTCGTCATCACCTGAAGATGTGGATGGGGCCTGGTGACTGGGGAGAAAGGGGGTCTCCCTTGGTGGGGAAGCAAAGTTAAACGGAGGTGTGGGGGGCTGGTCCTAAGCAGTGGGGTCCGTAGGAGGTCCTTACACACTCAGTGACTGTTTCTACGCTTGCTCTTGGTGCACGGCCCTGGGTTTCCAAGCTCTCCTGTGCATAGCCACCCCCTCCTCAGTGTTCAGGGTTGACTCGGACAGGACACATATCAGAGGCTCTGAGCATGTCTGCCTGTGTGTGTGCTGGCGAGAGCCCCTGTGGGCCAGACACACCTGGGCAGATGGGACCAGGGTGGCCACAGCAGACCTCACATATCCCTGCCCAGGGCCTGTTGCAAGTTGTGGACACAAAGTGCCTGCCCTCTGGCTGGGCTTTTCCCGGGACCCACCAGAGCACTCAGCATGTCAGCAAGGTCCTCTCGGTCCCAAGGAAAGAAATGACAGAAAAGGATAAAAAGTGTCCACATTTGGTCATCTGATCCGGGTGTCCTTGAAGGAGTTTTCATAAAACATGCATTGCCCGGGGGAGGAGGTGATGGATGGCTATCTGTGCCCCCTCTTCCACGTTGCTGCCGCACACTCTTTAGACCAGTTATTGACGTTGTTTTTAGGAACTGTATGTGAGACGATCTTAGTCATATTTTGCTTGTTTAAAACATGCAGTGCAATGAAAAGATGTACAGGATTTGTGGGCAGTTGGACCTGCCGTAGAACCTCAGTCAGACTGCCTTTCTTCTCTGCAGCCTTGTGAAAACCTCCTTACCACCCTCCAGCTCACTTTCTCAGCTGTACAAAGGGGCTGCCAGTACTCACTTGCAGTGCTGTCCAAGGATGCTGGATATAAAAACCCTTATCCTCTTGCTGCCATGTATTAGGCTCTCAATAAGTTACAGCCTAGAGATAAGACTGGCTATGATCAAGTAAATAGATTGATATGTATAGGCTTTTGGAGGAAAATGATATAAATGAAAACCCAGTGTAAACCCTTACTGTCCTCTTACTACCTTCTAGCAATTTCTAGCAAAATGCAGAGTCGCCAAGCCTTACTAAGTCAAAATAAACCACAGATCCATGATTGAAGCATTTCTAACAAAGGTGAGCGTCGATGTTGGCTCCCTTTATGATAGGAAATAGCTGGTTGCATACCTCAGAGTTCAAAAGGCTAAAAAAGACCAGGTTTTGCTTTAGAAAAGTTTCTTCTTTACTTAGTAACACGTTTCCCTTTGATTTTCACAGTAGGCTGTTCTGTGTGGGAATGTTGGAGAGGAAACCTCAGCGCTGAGAAATTCAGGCTGGGAGTCTCGGCGGCCGATTGAGATTTGTATCACAGGAAGCAAACTGAAACAATAGCTTTATGATATTAGCTTCCACGCTGGGCTGAGAACAGAACACATTCTGACGGGAACATCAGTGGAAATGCCACTTGATTGTCTTAAATCCTCTTTCAAGAGGAGCCCCACAAACTGTACGCAAATGAGGGTCACTCCTGCATTTGAAGGGCCTTCAACAACAGTAAATATGCAAAATTGGCTTTTCACTATGAAATCAATGTTTGGCCCCCCCCCACACACACACACACACTGGTGAGGGAAAAATCAAATTCATTTTACACAAGAGCTAGAGATCAATGTGAAGCAAGATTTCTAAGACAAATGTCAAGTTTATGATTAATTCATTGGCATTTGCTTAGTGAAGCCATCACTGTTAATAAGGGATGATGATTTCCTCATCTCTAGACAACCACGGGGAAGGCATTAAAATGTGAGACAAGAAATTTTAGCTTTTTGCCATGACCTTTCCACGCAGGAAAAAGTGAGATGCAAAGGTAAAATTGTGGGGGCAGCTATGGTTTCTGGTGCCTTCTTATGCCCCTCTTTCAGACTTCTTTTCCCAGGCATTCACCCCTACTTTCTTTCTGTCTCACCCTCTTGTCCCACCCACCCTCCAAACCAAGGCCTCTTTCTATCCTATTGGAAAAGAGCTGAAAGGTTGATTCGTGCCAGGATCTTGATCGCTGAGAGCCCTAGTGTACAGTCTCTTCTAGAGATACTTTGTTCCAATCATTCCCTTAGCTTAGATTTGATATGTCTGGTCCGTCAGCGGGTGTTTGCTGCCCCAGCCCTGTGCCATATTTTAGGAGGGGTCATACAGAGAGGTAAGACAGGACAGTAAGTCATGTACAGGCCAAAGAAATGCATTTCTAATGGTGGACTTTCACAGCCCTTTGGGAGGCCCACAGGTCAGATAAAACACAGTGCCCTCTGCCAAAGATGTGAGGGTAACCTCAGCCTACTACCTGGTGATGGTGGTGTTTCAATGTGGGCTGATGGCCAGATAAGCCATTCAAAAATAGTTTCCTCGTGGCTTGACTGGGCTGCTTTTGCAGTCAGCACATCCAGGGCCCAGTGGAGTCATGGGTCTCTGGGCCCAGGAGAGCCCGAGGAAAAGAATCAGTGTAAAAGGGAAGCCCCTTCAATGATAACTATGGGGTGACTACCCACCAAGCACATTTCCCCCGGGAGGATCACATCAGAGTGGTTTGGAGTCCAGTAGGAACACTCGGAACTTCTCAGAGGAGGAACAGAGGGAAAATAACCCTGGCACCCTCCGCAGCAGCACCTGTGACAGCCTGACCCCAGGGGCCCGGTCAGGAGCATCTGCCCCACCACTGCCTGCTCACCCCAGATGCCCAGCTCCTGCTGCCCCCACCACCCCCCGCCCCGGGCCCAACCCCACCCAGGCGGTGCTGCCTGAAGGAAATGCACGGTGCTCCGGAAAAAGTGCTCCGAAACCTCAGCCCGCGCATATCCTGGCTGTGGGGAGTCATCAAAGCCTGTTTACCGGGGCTATTTTTAGCTTGAAAGAATCTTGTTGTGCTCTTGGGTGCAGTGTATTGAGTCTCTGCAGAGTGCCTCTGATCTGCATGACCCGCTCCTCTTCTTGGGGGTCAGACCCTGAAGGGTCCTGGGAAGCAAGTAACTGAGACCTGGAGCCCAGGGCTATTTAAAGAATCTGCTGAGGGTTTATCAAGCACCTACTGTGTGCTCCTCTTCATTGGGCACTGAGGATTTCTTCCGGATTGTTATGCAACTTTACGGCGGCTTATCTGTCTTTTCCCCACTGGTCTGTAGATTCCTCTGGGGAAAGGATGCTCTTACACCTGACTTTCCTGAGGACAGGGCTGAGCACCCAGTAAGTGACACTTGTTGACAGATGGCCTGGCTTCATGCCCAGCATGGGGCAGACATGTGGCAGGAGTGTGATAGCTGCATTGTGGGTGAGCGAATTGTCTGTGTGCCTAGCACTGAGTCAGAGATTAGTGATCCCCTCAGGAGACATGATGTTCCCATGAGAGAGGAAAGGGGAAAGGCAGAGCCGTCTTCAGCCAGGTGATGTGCCTGGAGCCCCAGCCCCTGGAGTAAGGCGCTGCCTCCGGCCCCGCAGCCTCTACCCTCAGCTCCAAGCTGACAGCAAGCTGGCCAGGTTCCGTCTGAAGTCCCCAGGAGGACAGGCAGGTGCTGCAGGAGCAAATGGTTCCACAGAGGAAAGAGGCCCTGTTGTTTCCAGGTCCCCATGGGGCTGGCCTGCTGGCTTCCTGGTCCCCCAGCCATTGTGACTTCAGTCCCAAGATGCTCTGTTTCCATTCGTGGGCTCTGTCCGCCCCTCTCCCTCCCTCCCAGAGTCCAGCTGGCCAGCTGTTGTAGCCAATTTCACCACCTCCTGGAAGCAAGTGTACTGGGCATGGATGGAAACCAGTTTGGCTGTGCTGGAACTGTTAAAAACAGGAAACTTTAAGCAGAACTATTTCCTCTGGGCCTGGCTAACCCAAATCAGGTTGTCTTGGGATGACTCCAGATTTTGAAGTCAGGGTTGCCACTGAGATCAAAGAAATTGAAAAGAAGAAAAATCTTTTCACTAGGCCAGGAATCACAGGACTGGCCTCTGCTGTCTGGAGAAGGCACTCACCTGTCTGGTGTGATTTTTAACAGTGCTGAAAATCTCTTCTTATGTCCCCCAAATAGGTCACCACTTGCCAAAACATGTTGATTTTCCCAGCATTGCTTCTAAGTCACTTCAGTCATTCCCAACTCTGTGCAACCCCATAGACGGCAGCCCACCAGGCTCCGTCCCTCGGATTCTCCAGGCAAGAACACTGGAGTGGGTTGCCATTTACTTCTCCAATGCATGAAAGTAAAAAAGTGAAAGTGAAGTCGCTCAGTGATGGCCAACTCCTAGCGACCCCATGGACTGCAGCCTACCAGGCTCCTCCATCCATGGGATTTTCCAGGCAAGAGTACTGGAGTGGGGTGCCATTGCCTTCTCCGTTTCCCAGCATTAAGGTGGCTTATAGGACTTTAAGTTAAGGCAGTGATGGTCTCCACCTGTGGTCACCAGCATTCACATCATATGAGAATTTGTTAGAAAAGCAGATTCTCAGCCCCCAACCTGCATGAGTGCATGCTCACTCAGTCATGTCTGACTCTGTGACCCCTTTGACTGTAGCCCACCGGACTCCTCTGTCCATGGGATTTCCCAAGCAAGAATACTAGAATAGGTTGCCATTTCCTCCTTCAGGGGATCTTCCCAACTCAGGGACTGAAGCTATGTCTCCTGCATTGGCAGGTGGATTCTTTACCACTGAGCCGCCCGGGAAGCCCTGCCCCCAACTTGAGACCTACTGAGTCAGGAACACTGCTCACAGGGCCCATCCGGGGCTGGCTCTACAACTCTGTGTGACTCTGCGGTCCCCTGGGGACTTCCACCATTAGAAGGGCCGTGGGCATGGTTTGATGTTTCAGTGAGAGATCCCACATTTTTACTTTGCTCTGGTCTCAGAAATCCTTGTTTTAGCAAGTCCTCCAGTGGTCCTGGTGCTTGCTCCACTTTGAAAGCACTAGGTCAAGTCGTGGTCTCTTCTGAAGCCCCTGTTTAAATTTAGGTGTTAACCAGGAGTGTGAATATTGGCCACGGCACCCCCCACACCTAGAACTCTGGTTCATTATCCTCAGTACAGCTAACCAGTTGGTTGGCAGGGACCCTAAGCAGGGATCAGGTGTGGGCATGTGTGTGGTAAAAAGGCCATTCCCAGTCTCCCATCCCATAGGCTAGCTACCTGAATCAGGGTATGAAGAGGAAAGAATTTCCCTCATTCTGTTCTACTATTTTATCAAAACATAGGGAAGTCACTAGGATACACTCTGTATGGCCCAGCTCTTGGCTCTGAAGGGTGTCCTGTCCCTGGACAGCATCAGTGACCCCAGCACATTCACTGATGCTGTGTCCTCAAGATGGCTGGTCCCCAGGGGTGCCACTGAAGCCCCTTGGTAGGAACATCTCCTAATTTGGACTTGTTCTTCTGGAGGAATAACAGTGTATGGCCCAGAGCTTACATTTAGGGGCTCAAGGGAAAAGAGAATCAAATAAATCCAGTGCCCTTGCAGGAAGTCCCTTGTCCCTTGAACAGCATCCACATGTCTCTTGCCAAGTGGCCCATAAATTCAATTGCATTTTACATTCCCTCCAATAGACTCAGTTTGAATCACTTGTTTTTTAGTTAAGTGAATATTAACTTTCATAAGTGACAAATTATTCTATGATCCTCTCATTCTGTAAATTAAGGTAAGGTAAATTGATGTTTTTAGTGAATGAATACAAGTTTTTATAAGTAAATGTATGTTTGGAGTTAAACAATGAGCTAGGAGAAGCAGGGCTGAACTAAAGTCTGTGGTCTGAGCAATAACAACCAAGGGTCTGGGGCCAGAGCTGAGGCTACATTTTGCAGACAGCAGAGGTCTACTTGATAGGCCAGGGCCCCCCAGAGTGGTTGGGGAGTGGATGCCTTTCTTGGTTGCCCCTAGCAGCCACTTCCACAGCCTGCCACTAACACAGCAGCCTCCTCCTGTGGCTTCACACCTCTGATCCTCACTCTCTCCAAATCATCTTGCGTGCCATTGCTGGATGAATCTCCCCAAAGCAATGGTCTGAGATGCCGCTCCTCCAGGCCATTGGACTCACGAGTCTAGTCGATGAGCCTGGGGCACAGACCCTCCTTCTTCCGCCGGGTGGGCCTGTTCTCATCCATGGACAGCTCCTTCCAGGCTCTGCCTCCTCCATGATTTCCAGTGTCTGCCCAAGCCAGTAGGCCCAGAAAGCCCTACTTTCATTTAACAGAGTGAGATCCCTGCTTTTCATGAGTCTCTTCAAATGCCTTTCTTTGAACAGTTGTCTGTGACCACCTCAAAGTGACCCCCTCTTCCTGGGAACGCTTCCGCACTGTCTGTATTCCTCTTGGGCACCCACCTCTGTCACCCTGAATTTTTTACTTAGATTTGTGGCTTGGGTGTGCCACCCAGCCCCCATTCAGGTTCTGAGCAATTTGAAGACAGTGACAGTGTTGTAGAAGGAGCCAGAGAGGGAGAGAATTTATGCTAGTTGGTATGTTTTAGGCATTCTCCATACTTACCTAATCCTTACAAGAGATGGGAATTATTATATCCATTTAGCTGACGAGGAAACTGATATTCAAAGAGGTTTTCACTGACTCTTTGTTATGTCAGTTACAGCCATAACCTAATAGGAGGAATAGAGTCAGTGGTTATTTGACTCCAAAGCCAATGAATGGTTAGCAGTGTGGCTTCTGGATTCAGCTGCCTGAGTCCACAACCTTTATAGCCTTGGGCAAATGACTTAATCTCTCTGGGCCTCATCTGTAAGATAAGACAAAAAAAGTAGGGTCTACCCCACAGGTGTTTTGAAGATTACATAGCATTCTCAGTGATAGGCTGATATGTTATCATTGCTCAACATCCATTAGGGAAAATGACAGTCCTGACTACTCCTGTAACTGCCTTGACATCGGTGACCCCGCTGCTGCCAGTACCACAAGTACAGTGCCACAACTGTTCTGCTCGTGAAGCCCCCAGCAGGGTATCCTCCATGCAGTGGTGCTCATCAGATGCCTGCTCCTTGGGCATGTGGCGGACACTTAGGTGGTTGGCGGTGTGCGTTTCCAGAAAAATCCATCTGATGCCTTTGAGCCATCCCTGGAAGACACCCAAACACACCAGTCACATCTGCTTTAACCCCACATTGATGCAGGCTGTTCAATCCCACCCCCTGTCTTTCCAGTTTGCTCTGAAAATGAATCTGAAGCCGATGCTGACCAGCAGATGGACAACTTGTACCTGAAAGCCTTGGAGGGTTTCATTGCCGTGGTGACCCAAGATGGTGACATGATCTTTCTGTCGGAGAACATCAGCAAGTTCATGGGACTCACACAGGTGACACCCTGCTCAGGCTCCTTCAGAAAGGGAAAATGTTTCCATTTGGGGGTAGAAATTAGTGGAAGATTCTGATCACCTCCCCCCTGACCTTTTCCTTCATGCACGCACCCTCCTCCTCTCTGATCTCAAGCCTCAAACCTTAGAAATAACTTAGAGCCCCTGGCATTGGGCTAGCATTGCCAGTGGCCATCCTGGCAGACAGCTCTGCCAACTGGATTGCAGACCCACCCTTGTCAGTCATGTCTGTCATGACCTCTATTACACCTGTGTGTCTGTGGATCTGCCGAGTGGAATATGAGAAGATCTGACTCAGCCTCCTCCCTCTCTCCAAACCTGAAAGGGGGCCCAGCTTCCTCTTGGAGACTTCTTCACTGTCAGGAATAATGAACCCAACCTTGTTTTTTGAAACAGGTAGAGTTAACAGGACACAGCATCTTTGACTTCACTCATCCCTGTGACCATGAGGAGATCCGTGAGAACTTGAGTCTCAAAAATGGTAAGGTATTCTTGGGTGTGTTTCTTTCCTTCTTAATACCACATGGGGAAGGAACCTGTCTCCCCTTTGTGTACTAACGTAGGATGGATAGATCATGGCCATCATGATCCAGAAAAAATAGACACCCATAGAAAATCCAACAGGACTTTGGAGATGAGATCAAGAGACCTGGAAGGACTAGTACTCAGTATTATCTTTTGCTGGCTCTTGTGGTGCCTGAGATCAGACTCCTAGGGCACTCCTGTGGGTTAGGACACCATCTCCAGGAGGTTTCATCACTCATGCTGAGTGTCCAGCATCTTTTCCGAATGACACCATCCAAACCAATCAGCTTGTCTGTGCCAAAATGTTCATGGGAACTGTTGCAGCTGTCCATGTGATGGTTGTGTAACAGACTGCCCAAACATAGTGGGTTAAACAATCCTGTTATTGTCTCTCATGATTCAGTGGGTTCTATGGGTGGTTCTTATGCTCCATGTGATATCAGGGGGCTCAACCCAATGGGATAAGCATAGGGCTCACCCACACCTCTGGGACCTTGTGGCGGTAGCTAGAGGCTGGAGCTCTCTGTCACTCCATAAGGTATCGGAGCCTCTTCCTCTCCACATGGTCTCTCCAGGGTAGCCAAACTTCTTATACTATATTCTTAGCTCCCTTTTGGGGAACTGGCTCCCCAAAAGTGCAAAAGTAGAAGCTGCCAGAAGCCCTCTGAAGGCTTAGTCCTGAAACTGGTACAGCACCACACTTTGGTTAAAGTGAGTTACAGACCTGGCCCATTCCCTGTGGGAGGGGGCTATACAAGGCCCTAAATACTGTGAAACATGGCTCACTGGGGCCACCTTTAGAGACTAGCTACCACCGGGGCCAAGGAAGGAGTCTGGTCGCCCGGTGATAAAAAAAAAAAATGGAACAGGTGGTTTTGATGGAGAAAGTTTAAAAGGTCTTGTGCACCACACTCTACCTGTGGGGGCTCCAGCAGGTGCCAGGGGATGGAAGGGCCCATACAAACAGAAAGCATTTTTCAGGGACAGTCAGAGCTGGCTGCTTCACCTCTTGTAACTGGGGACAGCCACGCAAAAGCTCTAATGGACATATTGTCAAGTGGACGGAAGCTTTAAGAAGAAGGGAACTCAATGGCTTTCAAGGTCCCTTCTGAACCTGAGAGTCAGTCTCTGCCCTGGACAGACTGTACCGAGTCTAACATCCCTTTTTACAGCTCTCACCTGTCACTGACATGGAGCGTGTACTTACCCAGCCTGAATGACAGAGGCAAGGCAGTAGTATCAAGCCTACAAGGTTTTGCTCTTATTATCACACATGCTGAAAAAGCACACATCTCATCCGCCTACTTCTACCCATGGTCAGGCACAGGCTGGGGAGCTCTCAGGGCTGTTCACTGTCTTCTCTGTGTTGAGAAAGTCTTGTTTAGTTCTGTGAGAAAAAGGCTACCAGACCTTCTGAATCCCTTTCTAAAACAGGCACTGGAAGCCTGAGAAAACCCCAACGTCACTTATTTCTTCTCTACTCTGGAAACCCTTGGGTTCTTGGTCTCAGTTCAATCTCTGACCCTAGTCTTAGTCTGATCATACAACTTGAACCAAGCCCCTTCATTGCTCTGTTCCTGGGAATCTTTCTCTTCAAAGTGACCGTGTTGGACCAGGCAAAGTCTAGGACCTTTCGTTCTCCAGTGCTGTGACTCAGCATGACTCTGCTCTGTTGATCTGAGTTGAACGATAGGTCTCTCGGTCCCTGTGTTGAGGACTTGAGATCAAAATCAGTGAATCATCAAAGGCTTTGAAGGTGCCGACCTGCGTGGACTCGTGATCTATAAGTAAAGGGTTAGTGTGATCACCCAGAGGCAGATAAGGCTGTGAGGCTGCTTGTGGAAAGCTTTGAAGGCCGGCAACTGAGCCTTGAACTTCATCCTGTAGACAGAGGGGGCTGTTGGAAGTTTTTGAGCAGAGATAGGGGTAATCTGATTGGAGCTGTGTTCAGAGAGATTAACCAAATGACAGGATGGGGAAAATCCTGACATTAACAGGTTAAGAGGCTACAACCATAACCCATGCAACAGCCACAAATGAGTCCCTCCTGCCCACTGCTCCACAGCACCTGAGCTGGTCCTGGTAGTGTGTCCAGACCCCAAGATACAAGAACATCTCATGATGTGCAAACGCCACCTATGGAAGCCAGAATTGTGAAAAACATCATTGAGTATGGGAGAGGTGATTTTGTGATTGTGATGGGGAGGAATACCCTCTCATAAGAAAAAGAAAAAGATTCACCATCTGGTCTGTTACTCAGTGGCCTCTCTTTTGATGTTTATGACAGATTAAAAAGTGCCACAATCCATTTGACACAGTGATTTGGGGCTGTGTCACTCAAGTCACTGACCCCTGGGGGTTTCAGTCCTGAGGCTATGCCAGAGGAAGGGTGTGACTATTAGAAACAAGGCTCTGGGTTGTTCTGAGATGCTGGGTAGTGGGGCGGGAGTGTACCTTGGAAGGTCCAGAATGGCAGAATTTAGACATGGACAGGGGGACACCTCTAGGGTTTACTGCATTCATCACTTTTCTTTTTTTCAGTGGGAGAAGTCCTGAGTGGGCAGGTTATTTGGAGACCATAAGGAAGGAAGCAATCTTATTTGTCTTGGTGATTTTTTAAATTCTGACCAAGAAGGGATATGATCCCTACTGAGTTAATCCTCAAGGTGAACTTGCTCACCACAGGAGATTTGGACCAGCGGTGTTCCATGAGCCTTGACATGTGTCACTTTGAGAAGGGAGCACATGGTGTGGGATCCTGAACACAGCCACTGTGGGTTAACAGTAGGGCATGGGAGGGACAGGAATGGGGAAAAGACAGGGGCATCTAAGGGAAATTTCCCACCTGAGAGGCTTATCCCTTTGGAGCGATTGTGATCTTGCTTGGATGATCCTTTTGGAATTCCTTCTATGGGGCCCACCCAGGGGAGAGGTTTGCTAAGATCATGGCCGATGGTCACTCATTGCCTGACCACTCTGCAGTGTGAGGTGTGGTGGGAAATAAAACAGTGGAAGAGTCCCAGCCCTTCAGGAGCTCACCCTGCAGGGGAGACGGGCTGGAGGTGAGGGAGCCTTGATCCACAGCCAAGACAGCACAGAGCGCTCTGGGCAGGCTACGGGAGCTCACAGCAGCTCCTCAGGATCACACACAGACACACACACACCCCTGAAAAACTGCCCTGCTTCTGACTACAAACAGAGCTAACTTCAGCTGGCTCTACTTACCTTCTCCATCCAGGCTCTGGTTTTGGGAAGAAAAGCAAAGACATGTCCACAGAGCGGGACTTCTTCATGAGGATGAAGTGCACGGTCACCAACAGAGGCCGCACGGTCAACCTCAAGTCAGCCACCTGGAAGGTAGGACGTCAGGCCTGGGTTTGGAGTCCCGGGGTGACCCCCACCCCCACCCCCTGCCTCCACCCNGTCAGACTCCAATCCCTGAAGCCAGGCCCAACTGGAAAATTCTCTTACGGGAGAGTATAGTGGTTAAGAGCCTTAATGCAGTGAGAAGGCTTAAGTTCCAATCTGATAGGAAGTGTTCAGTGTTAGCTATGATTCCCACCCTAAATTACTTCTTTATTAAAGTAGTTGAAAGAGTACCCAAGGCCATACATGTAATGTATGTCACTCTAGTTTTAGCTCAAGGTGAGGATCGAAACAGGTAGGGAAAAGGTTAGAGCTGTCATGGGAGGGGTGGGAAGAACAGCTCTGACTCCTCCCCACTGCTTGGCCTCTGCCCTCCCCTCTGTGCCCGGACATTGGAGATGTGGGCGGATCAGGAGGTAGAAGCAGCAAGGATGCCATGGGCAATGGCTGCCATCAGGGAGGCAGGGACAGGCCAGGGGCTGAGCTGGGCCAGGCAGGCCGGGCTCAAGGAGATGCCACAGCCACCCACCATCTAGTGCATGATGGAATGGGCCCTTGGGGATCTCCCCACCCGACTCTGGCTTTCAGCAGTGTCCAGGGTCACCACGTTTGTCCAGAGTCATAGTTCTGGGAGCAGCTCTTTGCTGCTGCAGGCACTCCACTCTCACCTTCTAGCTTTCTCCAGAAACCCTGAGATTGTGGCTTCCCCTTCTCTAAAATGCATACTTACTGCCCCCCCACCCCCATTTCACAGGATCACTGTAAGATGAGTGATGGCCATGGAAGCACTTTGAAAAGCACAAACCCCCTCACTGATGGGAGGCTTTTTGTTCCTGCTGGCGTCTTGCTCGCTGTCCTTGTCCTCCCCTGAAGCTTGTCTCCCTGCTAAACTCTAAGGGGCCGAAACCACTGCTGGAGATGTGTAGAGGCTGGGGGCCTGGAAGAAGGAGAGCCTACCGGCAGGAAACTGCCTCACCTTCCCAGCCAGCAGGAAGCCACAGACCCCAGGAGGGAGCTCCTGCTCAGCAGCCCCCAGGCCCACCCACCTTCCTCTCCTCTGCTGGATGTCCCAGGGGTGCAGTTTTCTTCGTGGATGGGGCTCTACTTTCCAGGCTCTGCCGAGTCTGTCTCCCCTGATTCTGGACTGACCTGGTGTTTGCTGCTGCCACTCCTTAGAACTGGGCTCCAGGACAGATTTAAGAACTCTGGTGAAAGTGCCCTAGAGTCATTCCTGTCCCCTAGTTCTGACCACCATAGTGCTGCATTCAAGACTGTTGCAGGTAGCGGGTGGTTTGAGATGTAGAAAGAAGCGCTCTAACCTCATAGGGAGAAAATATCCAATATGAAGACTGTGTCCTGGAACTTTGGCACAGCCAGCAGTTATTATGGTTATTCATGTTGTCATTATTGTGATATGAGGATAATTAGAGAGAAAGACTATTGCAAAGGCAAGCACCCGAGAAATCCATGCTGTGTAAGGTTATTTATCAGATGCATTCTTTGTATTCAAAGGACCATTCTGGGCAAAAGATACAGTTTTGTAATGTGCACAGCCCTAATGTGACCCCAGAAGCACTGGGAAAACCCTACTGTCCTAGAAAATAACTTCTCATCCCTAGATAACAGGAAAGAAGAAATTTTTAAGTGTTAAGACTTTGATCCTTGTTAAAGTGAAGGGAAAATTCCTCTGGAAAGAGTAATTTGAAGTTATTCCTCACTCTTTACCATGTTTTGAATGAATTTCAGGTCATTTCCTGAAAGCTTCTAATCTTTGGATGAAAGGAAGAAGGGGCAATAACATGAGGAATTGGGGGCCTAAGAATGTGGAAGACCCTCCTCCCAGAAAGGAGAGGGACCCTGCGCTGACTTCTTAGTTTGCTTCAGGTCTGGTAGGCAGAGTTGATCCTGACTTGAAGGAACCTGTGATTTAGGGCTTTGTGACTCAGAGTGTGGAGGGTGATATTACTTGTAAGGTTTGCTGGATATAGTGCACTTTCAGCAAAATCTTGTCTTTCAAAAACCTAATTACATGGGCCAAACTCTGAATTCAATGGTGCTGGAGAGATGGATGCAGAGGCATTTAAAGACACAGAAGGCTGTGCCACACATAAGTTGTGTTTAACGGATTAGGAGATTAGTTCACAAGGGCACAGACATGGCTTAGACGTTTATAAAGTGACTATTTTAAGTCCTTAACACCTATGTGTTACTTCTCAGTTGCTTTGATGAGGACTAGGATTTTTTGGTTTTGGTAGCTTATCTTGTTTTTACTTTTTGTATTGGGATGGGGAAAGGTATGCACACATTCATGCTTGCTCTCTCACAGGTATGCACGCACGCACACGCACACACACACACACAACTCTTCCAAGATCAGTGCTTCAAAACCAACACTTACATATCATAGTAGGGTGACCATTTCATTTTAATCAAGGAATTCACTAGATTTAATGACATCTGGCACACATGAGAGGCTGTGATTTCCCACAAAGGGATTCTTTTTCCAGTGGGAAAGTTAGAAAGAATCTGGTGAAAATGTAAGGCAATTAGAATACACAAAATCACTTTTAAGGTTGTTTGGTACTTTTTCTTAGTTGTATTGAGACCACAGGCATAATCAAACAAACAGACAAAGGATCATGGAGAAAAAGAGAAGGGAGAAGAAAGGAAGCAGGAAGGTGAGAAGTAAAATAGAAAAAAAAAGTAATCTTGTACTTAACTCTCAGGTTTCCAAAATCAGTTGAACCAGAGGCAACTTGTCCTGAAAGATCTGAATTTGAATAAAGGAATGCAAATGGTTCAAAATGCATTCATCCTGCTCCTCTTAATAAAGAGTCAAGACCATACCAAGCCCTGTATTATCTGAAACAGCAAATATTGTTAGAAGAGAATTCCATGACAGTTTATGTCAGTCACATTTATTTGTATATACAATCAACTGCTCTCAATGGAGGCAGTAAAACTGAGCAGCAAGTTTAAAGAAGAATATCCTGATTATCAGTGTAACGGATGAACTTGTCTCCATTCACAATTCAAATAGTTTTCCTAAAATGAGCAGCCAATTAATGAAGTGTTATTTATTGAACATCTACTATGTATCTAACTCGGTGCCAGAGACTGATTATATCAAAGAAGGAAAGAGATAATTCTTGGTCTCCAAGAGTCTGGAGTTGGAGACATGAGTTCATTAAGAACCATTCACCCAAAAGGAAGGCAAAAGTTGTTCCCAAGTAGTTTAACTTCAAGATGGGGTCGTTCTTAAATTCACGTGGAGGCGCCATCTAGTGGAAAAAGAAAGTAACTCTGAAAGAAGCCAAGTCATCAGGGAGAGCAGGGCAAATCTGTAATACACAAAATCCCTCTGTGATTTTGTGTTTTATGAGTCTTTTTGTATCTTAGAAATAAATTATAAAAGCAAATTATGTGGATAAGAGAAGTATCAGTAGGGAGAAAGTTGTCATAACAGTAAAAATTTCAGGTTAACAAAGAGGGTCATGTAATTTTTATTTTTATTTTTAAAATTAATTTGTGTTTTTATTGAAGGATAATTGCTTTACAGAATTTTGTTGTTTTCTGTCAAACCTCAACATGAATCAGCCATAGGTATACATACATCCACTCTCTTTTGAACCTCCCTCCCATCTCCTTCCCATCCCACCCCTCTAGGTTGATACAGAGCCCCTGTTTGAGTTTCCTGAGCCATGCAGCAAATTCCCGTTGGCTATCTATTTTACATATGGTAGTGTAAGTTTCCATGTTACTCTTTCCATACATCTCACCCTCTCTCCTCTCCCCATGTCCATAAGTCTATTCTCTATATCTGTTTCTCCACTGCTGCCCTGTAAATAAATTCTTCAGTACCATCCAGTCAGCTTTGATTTCAGTTAGCATATATTTCAGCTCTAAAATTCTACTTCATTCTTTTTCTTCCATTTATTTTTATTAGTTGGAGGCTAATTACTTTACAATATTGTAGTGGTTTTTGCCATACATTGATTGACATGAATCAGCCATGGACTTACATGTGTTCCCCATCCCGATCCCCCCTCCCGCCTCCCTCTCCATCCCATCCCTAAAGAATCTGAGGGCAACCCCTTTTTGTCACTGAATTAGGGCAACATAGGATGTAATAATATCAGAAGTTACAGTTTAGTGAATTAAGATGCCTACATTTCAAATTCTGTGGGTCAGATTTATAATTAACTCTTTTTCTACAAAGAAGTTGGGAATGGTACTGGTGATAAAAGTGAGAGATAGTTGAGAATCTTTAAGAGACTGTCAGTAAAATTATAGCAAGCCATGAGATGTAAAACACACACACATCAAAACACCTGAAAAGTGATAGTATTAATGCCCAAGAAGAAAATAGACTGACTTTGGGCAAATTAATAGTAAAAGATTATATACTTTCATTGCATGCTGAGATACATTTAACAAATTATTTTACTTTTTTTTTTTAGAGGATAGATAGCATCTTTAAATGCAAAGTGATCTTTGCATTAGGCTAATATGTTACATATCATTTTTTAGTTTCATAGTCTGTTCTATATATTTTTGCAAACATAGTAGTCTTTCTCTACCGATTGTATGTAGCAAGGTATATATAATGTGTTTTTTAAGCCCCTGAGTTTAGAAGACACTTGAAATGTTCTCTTTGTGCATCTGTGTCTCTTCCAAACAATGTTCTTAAATCACTCCTAAGAAAGACTGAGCATATTTATGAGAAATGCTTGTTTATCATCCTGTCTAATCTGTTCAAAATATTCCTTGGAAGAAGCAGCTCTTTGGAATTTATTTCAAAGTGTGATAGACCTCACAATTCAAAAATTATTCATCTGTATGATTTGCCTCTCTCTTGCTACAATTCAAGGCAACTTTCCCCTTCCTGCTTGTGGGTTTCAAGGTAATGAAAGGCAGTTGCGGCATTTGGTGGCACTCAGAGTCGGTCCAGGATTGAACCAGGGCTACCCTCCCATGTACACTATGTATATATTCACCCCACCTGTAACACATAATACTGACAGGATGCAAATTAATTATCTGTTAACTACAGAGCCAGTTGGATATTCACTTAACTATGTACTATTGTAGGAAAACACAAGGCAAACGTGTTGTTTAAAGCAAAGAAAATCTGGATTGAAATACATGAAATCAAATGACATTGAAATCTGTGGTAGTGAATAGTCTGGAAATTAGTTTGCGTTAAGGAAATGCAGTTTCAAAGCTAAAAAAAAAAAAAAAAGCACATACAGGAACCAAAATGAGGTGAACCCAGTATTACTTCGGAGAGGCCATGGCCAGAGGAGGGAAGGAAAGAAAGCAGACCTGAATAGAAGGATGGTTTTATTAGCAAAGGCATTCTTTCAAAAACAAATAGGTGGTTATGAAGTACTTAAAACTTTCATCCTCTCAAATAGTTTAAATACTCTTCTAACCATCTTGTTTACATGATTAATTTACTGAGCAAATTCTGTGCCCGTGTAGGGAATGAGTAAAACCTGCAGCCAGACCTTGTTTGACTCCAGGCGTGGCGTGTGAAGCAGGGAGCTCGCTGCCCCATTGCTTGTGGGTGGCCGAGCCGGCTCAGGCCCGCACTGTTTCTTCTGCCTTCAAAGTCACACGGCCCTGACCCTGCTGCCACGGGTAGTCCATGTGGAAAGAGCCTCACAGCATGAAGGGTAGAGAGCAATGAATGACCAGTAACTGTCGTTTTATGCTGTGAGGCAAACCCGACTCTGAAATTCAGAGAGCCCAGCCTTCTGATCCACATATTAACTTGGGGCGACACTAACTTCAGATTTTAACTACCGTTCTTTCCCTCTCCATTTTCTAGTTTCTTTTTCTCTCTCTTCCTCCTGCCTCTGCCTCCCGTGGCTGCCTGTCAATGTCTATGTCTCTCTCCTGGCCTCATCCTCGGTCCGGTTCTCTTCCTACTTAATTATGAAAAAGGAACCTCTATGCTTTTTCACTTCTGAAGTCTGGTGAATTAAGCCCTTTACATGTCCCTCTTCTCTACAAACAGAACAGCCATACTGAATTGACTTTTGAAATTTATGGGTGACCCTAAAATGACTTTTTTCCCCCCTCCAGAGAGTCAGGGACCCTTAATTAGAAAGAAAAAGAAAAAAAAGTTCCCCTGCGTCTGATGAAGAGAGCAGATGAAGCTATGTTATCACAGCCCAGCTCTGGAGACTTCCCTGGGACAGAGGGAAATGAGCAGGGAGGATCCTTGTGTGCCTGCGGAGGCTGACCCTGTAAACAAGCCGGGTTCGTTGGCCTCCCTGCTGGCGTCGGCGTGCCTGCCGAAGGAGGGCAACGACCATTAGCTTTGAGTTGGGGTTTCCTGGTTTTGTGAAGTTCAACCGCTCGAATGTTCTTCAATTGTGTTTGGGGTATGTGTATTTCCCAGTTTTTATAGTCGTCTGTTTAAAGGCATGAAGAAGGAGACGTTAAATATTTATTTTAGTTGACAAGATAAATGAAGGCTGCTACTGGGAAGAGAGCTGGCAATCCTGAAGTTGAGCCCTTGTTTGTCCACTTCCAAACATGCCCATTGTGTCCCCTGAATGGAGAGTATACTAATTAGATCAGAAAATATTTTATTTGAGGTTGATTATAATAAACATTTACTTTGAGCATTTTAAAGATTCTAATCTTGAAAGAAAATGTAGTCTCTTCATGGATTAGAATCAGACTTTCCCAGGACAGCCTCATTTTTGAGGGTCTCTAGGAAATCTACAACTAGTGCAGGCTCGGAAGTAGTTTTTATGGCAAACTGGTGAGCCTACCATTGTCAGCCAGCCCATTGTCAGCACAGCCTATGGTGCAATTCTGACTCCCAGGCTAAGCCTGAAAGACATGGAACCCATCAGAAAAGCGACTTGGGTGTAGGAAAGGAAGCGCCAGCTCTGTTCAACCATCTCCTCCTCCTCCTCCCTCAATCTCCACTCCGGCTAAGGTGCCATTGGCAGTCCCAGAGTTGGGCCGCTGAGGAACATAACTTCAAAGACCTCCCTGCTCAGGGCCAAGTGAGGGGACAGGTCCTCCCCATCTGAAACCAGTTGGCTGATGCAAGGGAACTGCTGAAATCTCACGGGAGAAATCTCTGCTGGCCTAAATCAGCTGAGACCTAAGCATCTCAGCCCTGCTGTGTTGCCCATTGTTTGACAAAGCCTTTTGCCCCCAAGTCTCACTTAGGCAGAAAATTTGCCTCTTCTCTGCCCACTTCAACAGCAGACACACCTTGGGGAATGGAGGAAGGATGGACTCTATACCACGAGGCCTGCGCTGAAGGCTGTGTGTGTGTGCACTGTCATGCACTAAGATAGGTGGTTGTGTTCTAGGAAGAAAAGCGGGTTGTTAGTGCCCGGGATTCTTAGCAGTGCTGGGTTAGACAGGGCTCTGATTGTACCTTAGGCGCCCAAAGAAAATCATTCTGTTGGTCAGCTACTGTGGCATTTACTGAGCACTCGTTGTCACGGAGGCCAAAGGAGAATGTGGTCCCTGAATTCAGGGTTGGCAGCCTAGGATGTGGACAGAAGAATACATAATTTCTTGTGACACTGTGTTTGCTGATTAGGCTCAAGAAGGGGGACCTGGAGAAAGCTCGGTGAACAAGATGCAGTTTTGAACTGGCCCTGTCATCATCAAGGCTCAGAGAAAGAAGGCCCTGAGGCTCTGCAGCAAGCCTAGCTTTGCCAGCAATGGAAACTGGGAGGAAAGGGATATACCAGAGCAGGAGACTTGGCATGCTGCTGATCAGCTGCAAATTAAACTGCTTGGAAGATGGAGATAAGACTCTGGGGGAACTTGGAAGTTAGGCAGAGTTTATTTCCTCTGGATGTAGCTGGTGATAGGTGAGCTGAAGATGCTTGTAGAGGGGAGGGACAGAACAGAAATAATATTCTAGCATGATTTAGTCTGACCTATACAAAACCTCAATGGAGTGGGAGAGAGGAGTAGAGACGGGAGACCTAGGAGTCACAGCTTCTGCTTTCCTCTCCATGTCGTGCATCTCCAGCATGGTGACCGGGCCAGGCCCCAGAAGCCATGTGTTCCAAAACAGAGCTTGTAATGATGAGGAGATAGCATCACTTCTAGCTCGTGATAGGCTAAGTAAACAAGACAGCAAGCCCATTAGAAAAAATGTAAGAGAACAAAGATTATGAGAAATATGTTTAGGTATGACGTGGGAAAGTGGCTTATCTGTGGTTCTTGGGTAGGGCTTTGTTTATTTTAATGATTCCTGTGCAGAGCAGAGGGTTCTTGGAAAGGTACCTGATTCTTCATGCTTCTCCACATCTGCCTTTTCTCTGCCCACTTCCCATCAAAAGCAGACACCGTACAGGGACCAGCGAAGCCCTGTCCTTTCAGAGCTGCCTATTTATCAGAGTGTTAACGAAGGGGCACATTTCTAGAGCTATGATTTCGTATTTGTTCCTCTCAGCACCTTATGCCCTCCCTCCTTTCCTTGAGGTAGGGAGGGACAATTGGAGAACCCACAGTGGCACACCTGATGTCTAAGAGGTATCAGGTCACCAGGCAGGACCTGAGGGGTGAAGACTTGAGCACAGACCAGCTTCTGCTGCCCGGGTTCCTCTTGCCCTGTGGTTAACACACAAGCAAAGGCCACCTCTGGGCTTTTCTAACTCAGGATCGCATAATTTTCACTTTTCATTTATAATGACTTCTACTAGAATAAGCTTGAATAATCAGGAGATTCCCATTTTTATTCTTGGTTTGTCCCCAGACACTTGTGTAAACATCAAGTAAATTGTCTGCCATCTCTGCATCTCTGCTCACTTGTCTACAAAAACTGGGAGTTAGGGGGCTGATGAGAGCCCCTTCCAGTGGTCACTGGAGAATATGCATGTGTGTCTGTCTGGGGGTGAGAGTTAGGGAACCCTCAGATAGGTGCTTTTCCTTCCTCTCCAAACACAATTCAGGAAAGGCAGGAAGAGTGAGGTTCAGTAGACCCATAGTTGCAAGTTGATCACCGTATTTTTGTTTGTTTGGATGAATGATATGACCAGGAAGTTTGAAGTGTGTTTCATTGAATGTGTGCATTTGACTTACATTCTGGATATAGGTCCTTGCACCCCGTTCATATGCATATGATCTCCCCACCTTGCTTTTTTTTTTTAATTTAGAATCACAGAACTGGTTGGCTACCACCCTGAAGAGCTACTTGGCCGCTCAGCCTATGAGTTTTACCATGCACTGGACTCAGAGAACATGACCAAAAGCCACCAGAACTGTAAGTTCCAGGAGTACCCCCATACATCTGTGGAATCTGGCCTTGAGTGAAATGTGACTGGTGATAAGGAAGAAAATCCAATCAATTTCGTCACAGGGCCCACCGTCTTGTGTGACAGACAAGACTCATGTCCTCAGGAAAGTTAGAAAACCAAAATTGCCACCAGCCTATATGGCATGTTGATGCAAATAGGATAAGGGGACACACCAACACACCAAGGCATATAGCCTAGAGAATGGAGGGTGGGCTGAATCTCATTCCCCCCTTACCACCTCCACTGGGCACATTTCTGCAGTTAATAGACTGCAAAAACTTATGGAAAAGCCCCATAGAGCGTGATCAACTTGGGTAATATGCTTTAGATGCAGGTACATCCATTCAGAGAAGAGGAGGGCTGAGACAGTTCAGGAAAAGAAAGGACAGAGCACTTTAGTTGACCTTGAAGGATGATGGAATATTGGGGTAAACAGAGGTGCAGGTTGTACAGTACCAACTTATGAGATTAGTTGAGATAGGCCATGGTTTTCCAAGAGCTTGCTTGCTGAATCAAGAGAACTCAGTTGGATGAGAATGTCCAGGCAACCCAATAATGGCATGTGGAAATTGTGCCTTGCAGCTTACAAAAAAACCTGAATTATGAAAGGATTCTAGAGCAGGGTTGTCCAAAAGAACTTTTTGCGGTGGAAATGTTCTTCCTCTGCAGAGTCCATGGGTGACCTTTGCAGTATTTGAAATATGTGTAATGAACTAAATTTTTAAATTTTAGTTTTAATTAACTTTCAGTAGCCATACTTGGCTAATGGCTACCATATTAGACAGAGCAGTTCTACTCCATTTCAGTTGACCTTAATCCCAATTAAGTCTTCTCATTTGCAAATGATCCAAGACAATTTTCTTGAATCCATACAGCCCATCAGCATGCAAGGACTATTGGTCCCTAACCCTTTACTTGGCCTGTGCTGTGCTTAGTCACTCAGTCGTGTCCAACTCTTTGTGACGCTAGGGACTGTAGCCCACCAGGCTCCTCTGTCCGTGGGGATTCTCCAGGCAGGAATACTGGAGTGGGTTGCCATACCCTCCTCACTTGGCCTACTGGGGGGAATAGAAATGTATAGGATTGATCCCTGCCCTAAAGGATCTCATTTCTGAGGGAGAAGGAGGGCTTCGTGTTCCCTGGGAGCCAGTTGGCCGGTACCTTCAGCCTCAGTATCTAGCACAGTGTTTGGTACTGTATAGGCACTAAGTGAACAATAAACTCAAGGGCAAAAACTATATTTTGGAAAGAATGCTTCAAAAATGTGCCCCCAGTGCAGATGGAGGTGCTGAGAGGATTACAGAAGGACTTAAAATGGGTTAGTCTGAGAAGATTCCCAATGGTCCTGCTGGTCTTGGGCTCCAAGGATTAGAGTGGCTTGGAGTGGCAATGAAGAAAATGGAAATGCAGCTATTTCCCCATTGCTCCTAAATCCATCCATCTATCCCAAGGTTAGGACAGCTGAGGTTCAGAGCAGCTAACAGGTCAGCAGCCCATAAACTGTACAGAAGCACAGTTACTGTTCTCTCAAACAGTAAGATCTCTAATTGGTTTCTTTGCTTCATCCTCATGGCTTTAGGGTTCAATCTGACAGTGCAGCAGGGCCCCTAATGATATCTCAAAGATGTTTCTCATTGTGGTCTCTGGCAAAAAAGAAAAAAAAATCCAGATTCCACATTCACGGACACAGGGATGGGGGAGGGAGATGGATGTGCCATGGACGTGACCCAGCCCTAGCCTGCCCCAGCTTTGAAACTGTAGGATGTGGCACCAGCCTCCACTCTGGGATTCCCCTTGCTTTTCTGATCCATAGCGGTTCCAGCTCCCTAAGTCGTCCTGATACTGGGTCTGGGAGACCTGGCTCTGGCCCAGCTTACCCACTGATTCCCCAGTGCTTGGCTTTCTGGGGTTTCCCTCCTCTGTATGTAAAACTGCAGAAAAGCTGAACTTTCCTTCTCAGCCAAGGGTGAGTCAAAGTAGGGACACTAGCAAATGTTTCTGAGAATTCTTGCAGGACAGCACTGGACTGTATCTTCTGGGGTGGGAAAGGGGAGGAAGCTACTGTCAAAAAGAACAAAAATGATGACTTCTCAGTAGGCCTGTGAAAGGGTTTTTTTCCTTCTCTTAGAAAAGCTTTGATCCTCAAAAAAGATCTGGGGTAAAATATTGTCATACTAGTTTAGTTTTCTGCTAAATCCAAGGGCAATATGGTGCTTTTTATTGACTCTGTGTTTTTAAGCTTTAGGCACACTTAAAGATAATTCACAGACCAAATATAAATCACAGGTTCCCTTCTTTCCCTGATGGAGCCAAGCAAAGCAGCTCTGAGTTTGGAGGCCTCTACCCAGTCAGCCTGAACCCACAAAAGGAAATCTGTATGGGTTGCCTGGAAATTGGGTTAATGCCAGCTAAACAGATGCAACTATTTCTGTCTCTCTTCCCCCCTCTCTTTTTTAAAACTTTTTATTTTATTTTGGAGTATAGCCGATTAATAATGTTGTGATAGTTTCAGGTGGACAGCAGGAGACTCAGCCGTACATATACATGTATCCATTCTCCCCCAGACTCCCCTCCCATCCAGGCTGCCACATAACTGAGTAGAGTTCCATGTGCTATACAGTTCTTTTCCTCTTTCTCTTTCGATCTTTCCATCTATCCCAATCTGTTTCTCTGTGTTTGTCTGACTCTGTCTCTCTCTTTCTTTCTCATTGAGTTTATGCAGATAAAGTTGCACCACAGACCCATGTTCATACTATGGAAAAGTTGGAGGCCCAGGCTTGAGGCTGGTCCAGGGTTACACACCAGCATCCCGAATTTAGGCATGTATGTGTATCTTAGCCTGTGAAGGTTTACCGTTGAAATTGCTGGGGAAGTTCAAGCCTCAAACCAGATTTAGATAATTGAAAGCCATCATTTGCAAATGGATTAGTAGTTTATACACTTGTTACCCTTGGAGGGTAAGGGTTTGGGGGAGGGGGGATGATTTCTCTTTGTTGTGTGAGGACAGTATGTGCTCTTAGGAAAACAAGATTAAGGCCATAAAAAGCCTATATGGTGCTTTTTATTGACTCTGTGTTTTTAAGCTTTAGGCACACTTAAAGATAATTCACAGACCAAATATAAATCACAGGTTCCCTTCTTTCCCTGATGGAGCCAAGCAAAGCAGCTCTGAGTTTGGAGGTCTCTACCCAGTCAGCCTGAACCCACAAAAGGAAATCTGTATGGGTTGCCTGGAAATTGGGTTAATGCCAGCTAAACAGACGCAACTATTTCTGTCTCTCTTCCCCCCTCTCTTTTTTAAAACTTTTTATTTTATTTTGGAGTATAGCCGATTAATAATGTTGTGATAGTTTCAGGTGGACAGCAGGAGACTCAGCCGTACATATACATGTATCCATTCTCCCCCAGACTCCCCTCCCATCCAGGCTGCCACATAACTGAGTAGAGTTCCATGTGCTATACAGTTCTTTTCCTCTTTCTCTTTCGATCTTTCCATCTATCCCAATCTGTTTCTCTGTGTTTGTCTGACTCTGTCTCTCTCTTTCTTTCTCATTGAGTTTATGCAGATAAAGTTGCACCACAGACCCATGTTCATACTATGGAAAAGTTGGAGGCCCAGGCTTGAGGCTGGTCCAGGGTTACACACCAGCATCCCGAATTTAGGCATGTATGTGTATCTTAGCCTGTGAAGGTTTACCGTTGAAATTGCTGGGGAAGTTCAAGCCTCAAACCAGATTTAGATAATTGAAAGCCATCATTTGCAAATGGATTAGTAGTTTATACACTTGTTACCCTTGGAGGGTAAGGGTTTGGGGGAGGGGGGATGATTTCTCTTTGTTGTGTGAGGACAGTATGTGCTCTTAGGAAAACAAGATTAAGGCCATAAAAAGCCTATCTACCAAGTAGCAGGCCCCTCACCCAGGCTGGCATTAATGAGCAGATGATTAGAAAGCTGGTGTAATTATATGCTACTGACAGAGCAGGCCCTTGCCTGCAGTCGCTAGAAATGCAGTTAAAAACCTTTGCTCACTGCACTGTTTAATCAAAAAGAATAAGAGTCCTGAATCTTGTCTGCATTAAGAACAAGTTAATAAGTTAATAAATAAGTTCACTCCAGGCACTTGAAATTGTGCAAGAATCATGTCGCTAGAGCAAGGGAGCCTCAATGGGGCAGATAAAGGGAGATGAGGGAAGACAGAGTTATTTCTTTGGCCAAGGGGTCCATGATGATTTAGGACAGCAGCAACCACCAATTCAGTCTTCCCAGTGAAGTGTCGCCCAGGGGAATGTAGCAGCAGGGCACCATACTGCAGGCCACAAAGGCTGTCTCCTAGCCCAGACTATTGTCCTGTGTGATGTAAAGCAGGTCACAGTCCCTCTGGCCTTAGTTGCCTCATGTTAAAAATAAATAAATAATATCTGTCTTCCCTACAGCACAGGATCTTATTTAAAAGATTCGACGATGCTGATATAACCACTTTGGAAAGTAACTTGGCAGTATCTAATAAAGGAAAGGTGTACTTAACCATATGACCTGCCCACTGCACCCCTAGCTACACCCACACTGTATGTCCATACAAAGATTTGTACATAAATGTTCATAGCACCTTTATTCATCATAACCAAAAACTGAAAACAACTCAAACATCCATTGAAAGGTGAACGGATAAACTAATAAGGGTATCTCTGTGAAGTGGAACATTACTCAACAATTAAAGGGGGCAAGCCAGAAATATTTACAATGCGAGGGTTCTGGGAAACATGCTAGGTAAAAAGAAGGCAGATGCAAAACAGCGCATGCTCTTGTATGATTCCACTTCCATGCAAATGGAGAGAAGATGATTTCAATATATCATTAACAGAGAACAGATCAGTGGTTGCCTGGGACTGGGGTGGAGCAATGGGGATTGACTGTTAGAAGGTATAAGAAATTTGGGAGGTTGGATAAGGGAAAGTTCTTTGATTGTAGTGACTGTTAACAAGGGTCTGTACATTCATCAAAACGTGTATGCTTAAAATGGATCCTTTTCCTATTGGTGGTAATGGCGCAAGCGGTAAAAACCTGCCTGCGAATGCAGAAGACATACGAGACTCAGGTTCGATCCCTGGGTCATGAAGATCCCCTGGAGGAGGGCATGGCAACCCACTCCAGTATTCTTGTCTAGAGAACCCCATGGACAGAGGAGTCTGGCCGGCTACAGTCCATAGGGTCGCAAAGAATCAAACACAACTGAAGCAACTTAGCACACAAAGTTGATTTTTTTTTTAAAGTACAAACCAAACCCAAAAAAACTTAGATTAGGAGTCTTCAGTTTGGGCTACAGTCCTGTACTAGTTCCACGGAGGAGGCCTTTTAGCAAATAATTCAGTATTTCTAAGCCTCAGTTTCTTCAGATGAAAACCAGGAATATTAATAATAAGCAGTTTATGGTGTTACTGTACAGTAAGTTAGGTGGTGCTGACACTAATCCTGTGGATGCTTTAGGGAACAAGCACTGTTCTAATTCCTTTGCAGAAATGAATTTATCTTATGAGATGGTTTTGAACCCTGCAAAGCACTATACACATGTAAGTTATAGTGCTTCCTATATCTTGGAAGTGCTTATTAGATTTCTGAACAGGGTGACATGTGCCAAGAAAAACATAAATGTAAAAGGGTTACAAGCAGCATTAGTATGAACCAAGCTGTATTCCTCAATCCCACAGGAGTGGTGAATGGGGAGTGGTTCAGGAGCCTACAAGGGAAACTGGAGAGATTCTCTGTGTTTACAGAATGTCCGCATGTTCTCACATAAGGCTCCTCAAGACATTATCTGCAGATGTGGCCTGTAGATGTGGCAGGGCCTGAGCACTGTACATGTTAGTAACTGTGGGGCAGAGGTGCTTGTTCCTTCACAGCATTTGTCGGTGACATTCAGCCAGCATTTTTATACCTGCTTAGCCAGGTGGGCAGATTTGGTCCTCAGTACAAACAGCTGTGGGATACTGGGTACTAATAATAACTATTATCATTACTGTTAATTATTATCAGTACCCCATTTTGCAGATGAAGAAACCAAAACCAAGATTTCCTAATCCTCCTGGCATGCCTCTTCTTAGTTCTCTGTGATTTGGGGGTTTCTGAGCTGGGATTCAGAAGAATGAATTCCCAAGGAATGAAAGTAAGTGGGCAGTTCAGAAAACTATCAGAAATCCTAACCTTAGTAAACTTTAATTTGAAGGGACTTGCTGATTCCTTTTTTGATGGGAACAGTTAGAGCATTCTAGACTGGGGGAGAGAGCCATCTTGGGATGCAGGGTCCTTTCTCCAGTGTTTTTAATAGAGAAAAGAAAATGTTAAATGAACATTTAGAACATTCTGGGAGAGGAAAGAAGTCACATGCAGGTAGCCTAACTAGGCAGCTGGGAGGCCAAGTGCAGAGGACTCACAGGCTTTGAAGAGGCTGTGTGTGGAGGTGGCTGGGGGCCCAGTACTGCCTCAGCCCCCACTGGGAGCCTGGGAGGCTTCCTTCTGCCTTTGCTCTGGGTCCCAAACCTTCTGTGGCCCTAAAGGTGGCGGGTCTAACCAATGACTTGAAACAATCTATCTGTTTTGTTTTGTTTTTTTTTTAACTGCCTTTATTCACAAGCAGTGTTGATGGTGGGTCTGCTACCAGGGGCTGCCGAGAACAGGCATTCTGCACGCTGCCTGCAGGTTCCCCCCACCTGCAGTGTGGGGCAGAGGAGGCGCTCCTGCACCCTGGGTGCATGCATGGATCCGGCTGGTACCCCATGGAGCGGCTTCCTCTCGACCTTGAGGGGAAAGAAGGGCAGGTGCTGTTCTTGGTTTCTGCTCCCAGCTGAGCCGGTGTGAGCTGACCTGTCAAGGGCTTGGCCGTGGCCACTCCCTCACAGCCAGCCTAGGGACGTCAGCTATTCTCTCTGGACCGCCTTCCCCAGGTTCAACATGAAGTGTTGGGCAGCACGCTGTCAGCGCCCTTCCAGCTCATCCTCCCGCATCTTTCCCCGTGCACTGCCCTCGCCTCCCTGACCTCAGGCCCCGTTTCTCCTCCCCTAGTGTGCACCAAGGGTCAGGTGGTGAGCGGCCAGTACCGGATGCTTGCCAAGCATGGAGGCTACGTGTGGCTGGAGACACAGGGGACGGTGATCTACAACCCTCGCAACCTGCAGCCCCAGTGCATCATGTGTGTGAACTACGTCCTGAGGTGAGCGTGGGAGGGCTGGGGCCGCAAGGCTTGGGGGTGGGGGTGTTCCTGAGACTGACGACGCAACCCAGGGACACCAGGCCCCTCAGGACCCGGGCACCACATCTTAGAGTTCTTGGCGGTGGGCATCCTGGGAACAATGGGACTTTGGGATTTCCCTTTGACAGCGCTTTTTCTGCCCCTTGCCTCTTGTCTGTCATCTCTCATGCCTCCACCCTATGTGGGGGAGGCAACTAGAACATGGGTATCGCCTAACCTGTTTTCTGAATGAGGATCAAGGGAAGAGAACTGCTCATAACTTTTGGGGAGAAGATGTAACACCCTAGCTATGTAGAACTTGGGAAGACAGCTGGAGAAAGGCAGCACTGGGGCGAAACAAAAGTAGAAGCCTTCAAGTCTGTGCATACCACACAGCCCACGTACAATATTAAAACAGCATCCAAGACAGATACATATTGTGAGGCGCTCTTGGCATCACTAGGCTCCAGGACTCCAAACTACCATTGTGCAGTTCTTTACTAAACGCTAACACACTGTCCATCCCCATGGTTTTGTCTGAGAGGCTTAGCTGTTGGGGCTTTAGTGTGTCTGGGAGGGCAAAAGGGTTTTGATGGAAAATGTGGAGGGTCTGAAGCTCCCTCTTGTCTCAACAGTGAAATTGAGAAGAATGACGTGGTGTTCTCCATGGACCAGACGGAGTCGCCGTTTAAGCCGCACCTCCTGACCATGAACAGCATCTTTGATAACAGCGGCAAGGCAGCTGGGTCTGAGAAGAGCAACTTCCTCTTCACCAAGCTGAAGGAGGAGCCCGAGGAGCTGGCCCAGCTGGCACCCACTGCGGGAGACACCATCATTTCTCTGGATTTCGGTGGGTGCACCTTAGCTAGGCTGGGGCCATCAGACCCTTTTGGGGATGAGGGAAGACCTCCCTGGCACAGATTTCCCTTAAGCAGAGCTGCCGTGTGCCTTCTCTGAGTCTTGCTAATCATACATTAGTGTGGCCATATCCTGAGCTGTGCACACACATTCATCATGGCTCAGGCCTGCCCTATGTCTGACCTCTCAAGGCACTGACCCGGGTGGGGTCTGGTCGATTCTCCATCATGGGCAGTGGGAGTCTGAGACGAGAGGTCTCAGGGGTCTGCTCTGAGGCCCTGGGCATATTTTCGCGGAGTGGGCAGGTCTCCACCTTGAAAGACAGATTGCGTGTTTAGGCAGAAGGCTGCTAGGTTGAAAAAATGTTGGGAGAAATCATCCCAGAAACATGGATGGAGAAACAGATTCAGGCCCAGCAGTAAGTCCTTACGTGCACGTCTTTAAACGTTTACCTGTCCCATGGGGATGTGAGTCCTGGTGGCCCCAGCAGGGTTTCCAGCTCTTGACCCTTGCTGTGTACCTGCAAAGCCCCTTCCTCCCCGTGTAGCATTGACCACCATCACCCCCAGCCTTACTGTGGCCACTCAAGGAATAGCTACACCTCCCTGTGCTTGCTCTGATCTGCCTTGGCCCTGCTAGACGTGTTCTTGAGAAGCCACAGGGGAATCGTGACTGCAGAGAGTCACAGAGGGCAAACCTGGGCCAAGGAGTCATGCAGCATCCCGGTTTTGTGGCAATAACGAGGTCACCTGCCCAGTTCTCATAACCTCCCCCTCTGCATTCTAGATTGCCCTTCAGGGAAGAGAGGCAACTGACACATTTAATCTCTGGAAGTTAGCGGCTCCAAGAGGATGTTCCCATTAAACAGAGTCTGTACACTGAAGTGGAGCCTGGGTTGAAGGCCTCTTTAACCCACCTAAGCCTCAGTGCACCAGGGCCTAGCCCCAGGCACGCTGCAGACCCTTTTAGGAGCTCTTGTGCATCCTTCGGGCTTCCTCTGTCCAGGGGGTGAGCCCAGTGGTTGTGGGTGCTAACCAAGCCAGGTCCTGTCTCCACAGGGACCCCGAACTTTGAGGAGTCCTCAGCCTATGGCAAGGCCATCCTGCCCCCAGGCCAGCAGTGGACCGGAGAGTTGAAGAGCCACAGCGGCCACAGCGAGGCCGGGAGCCTGCCCGCCTTCACCGTGCCCCAGGCGGCCGCCCTGGGGAACAGCACCCCCAGTGGCAGCAGCAGCAGCAGCTGCTCCACGGTGAGCCCCCCGCCTTGGGTTGAGGTCGTGGAGAAGGGGAGCTCCTCTGTCTGCTGCTGGATGGCTGAATGGACAGGCCAGGCCCCAGCACTGCCCTCCTCTTCCTTAGGTTTCCTGCAGACCCCGCGGGTGGCTGTAAGACTTACCTGCCACATATTAGACCCTTGCTGTTGGCACTCACTCCACCCCCATCTACAGAATAAGGTCCTTGAAGACAGGGGCTCAGTCACTCATAGCTGTGAGCCCTGAGCTCGATCCCCATGCAGGACAGTAACCATCCTGCTGGGCGCAAAGGGCCTGGCCAGCCATGCCTCTGTCTGGCTTGTTCTTCAAGACAGCCTCATTGTATGGCAAGGAGACTGAGCTCAGAGAGGTTCACACAGCTCATATGGAGTGGCCTGTCTACAAACCCTTGTTCCATGGAATGGAGTTGACTCTATGGGTCCAGAGGTGTATTTCTCCTTCCACCTTGGACTCCTGAGGAAAGCAGTATCATAGCCTTGACTTGGTCACCTTCCTTCCTGGCCCCTAGCCCAGTAGCCCTGGAGACTATTACACATCTCTAGATGACAATCTGAAGATTGAAGCAATCGAGAAGCTCTTTGCCATGGACACAGAGACAAAGGACCAGTGTGGCACCCAGGTACGTAGTCAAGGAGAAGATCAGGATGGTGCGCCAGGCCTGCCAGCTGCTGGTGGTAAAGGCTTACGTCCATTCTTGCAGCCTTGGCCCTTTGTTGCAAAGACTGGTGGGAAAGCTTGGCCAATGCCATAATCCCTTAACTGGGTGAGAGTGCAGGGAAATGGAGCCTGTGGTCGTCTGCTTCCCCCACTTCTGCCCTCTGCTTTACCCATGTCAAATCCAGCTCTTTTTAACTCTCCATATATTTATGTCCTACTAACTTGGATATTTATTAGTGCTCAGAAAGCCAAAACTACAACTGAACCTTTCTTTAAGGAGCCCTGCATTTAAAAAGCATACCCAGATGTCCAGATGTATAAGACTTTTCTAAGCACAGGGAACAATTCCCTTTACAAACATTTTCATTTCAGGATTCTTTGAAATAACTTACATTAATTCATGTCAGTGTAAGACAAAAACCACTACAATATTGTAAAGTAATTAGCCTCCAACTAATAAAAATAAATGAATTTTAAAATGACATCTGACTGACAAATTTTTATTTACACTTAACGTTTCAGGAACATATTACATAAGGCCAAACAGTCTTGTAAAACCTGTGTAAACAGGGTAGGGTGTGGGTGGATGGGTAGGTGTGTCACAAAACCCAAAGGAAATTTATTAATCCCTATTTGTCTTACTCTGGGTTATTCATCCAAATTTCTGCCTTGCCTCCTCAGTTTGTGTCTTCATTCTGCAATCTTTCCCTACTTCAACACTGCACTTTCTTCTCTGAACTCCTCTAAGATTTATTCCTTGAAAAGAGAACGTGTATAACTGGATGCTGCTTCTCTTTAACTGTTTCATGTACTGTTAATAAGCTACCTCCCCCCAGTGAGGGCTGAAATGTTTGTTTTGCTGCATCTGCTTATGAGAATTCCCTGTGGTGCCCATACTGGGAACCTGAGGGGCCGTCTCTGAGTCCTTGGTGATCTGAATGAAGGTCCCACAGCGAGCACTGGGCCACGGTTACCCTACAGGTTGTCTGCAGATACAGGGAGAGGAGGACAGAGCTGCCCTTGGCCCCCAGGAGCCATCGTGTTCATCAGAGTAGGCAGTGGGGTGTGTGGAAGAATGACTGCGTGGAAGGAGACACAGGAAGGCTGGTAGCACTTGTCAGAAGACCTTCCGCACTTTGTGGACACATCTGGGTTTTCCTCTCTTGGGCCCTCCAGAGCTTAGCGCTGCCAGGCCGTGCAGGAGGAATGCCTCGGGCAGGGGGTGGCGGAGCGAGGGGCTAAGATGAGACAGTGTCCCTGAGGCAGCGCCCACTGCTGAATTGCTTTGCCCCTGCTCTGTCTTCTAGACTGACTTTAATGAGCTAGACTTGGAGACCCTGGCGCCTTACATCCCCATGGACGGAGAGGACTTCCAGCTCAGCCCCATCTGCCCCGAGGAGAGCCTTCTGCCAGAGACCCCCCAGTCAACCCCCCAGCACTGCTTCAGCACCATGTCAAACATCTTCCAGCCGCTGGCTCCAATGGCCTCTCACAGCACCTTCCTCCTGGACAAGTATCAGCAGCAGCTGGAAAGCAAGAAGACGGAACCTGAGCAGCGGCGTGTGTCCTTCGCCTTCTTTGACGGTGGGAGCAAGGTGTCCCTGCTGCAGTGCTGTGGCCAGACCTGCACCCCTCTCTCCTCCATGGGAGGCATATCCAACACACAGTGGCCCCCTGACCCACCATTACAGCTGGGGCCCATGAAGTGGCCTGGTGAAGATCAGCACGCAGAGGCCTTGGGGGCAGCACCCTTGGGGCCTCCCATTGCCACACCCCATCTCGCCATGTTCAAGAAGAGGTCAGTGAAAGTGGGCTGCTTCAGCTAAGGCTGTGCTGTACGGGGGAGGAGGTGCAGACAGGTGCCCACTAGAGGCAGGTATGGGGCTCCAAAAGGCCCCTTGCCCCATCACCAGTTTCCATTAGACAGTGATCTGATATACCGCTTAGCCCTTCTCTAAACTCTGAGAGCTTGGGCCTTAGGGGACTGGCCCTAAGATATGTGAGGCCTCGAGTGGGACACGTTTTATCAGAGCTGGAAGAGACCAAGATAGGCCTGCAGACAGGGAAAGGGAAAGAAGTGGCTTCCTGAGCTACTCTTAGAGTGCCTTTTTTATTCAGAGTTCATTATCTGAGCCACAGACCACCCACACACACAACATGGAGGGACATTTCCTCAGTTTGAGCGTGGAAGTCTAGTCGAAAAAAGTGAAACGATGCCCCTGACTTCGGCTGCCAGAGTCTAGCATCGCCCTCCCCATCCTGCCTCCTCCCAGCATCTGCCAGTACCCACCACCCCCACAAGGCCCCTCCAACCCCTGGGAGCTCCCCTGGCTGTGACATGGGGGGAATAGACTTCAGGTTCCCAGGGCCCATTGGTTAGGCTTCCCTGAGGCCCTTGCCTGTTAAGGGCATCCTCACTTGTCCCTGGTGGGGAGCAGAGCAGGCCAGGTGGGGCAGAAGCGGCCCTTGCAAAGACGGCTGTCACCGAGCTGGGCAGCCACGAGCCAGGCCAGGACCAAAGGCCGCCGGGGGCCAGCCAGGAGACAGGCACATGTGGAGGGAGGTGCAGACAACTGGACCACCAGTGCCCACCAGGCAGACGACACTGAGGAAAGGGGGAGCCCCAGCCCAGGCCCTCTTCCCCTCCTCCCGGACTCTGCCTTGGGGCTCCAGAGCCACCGCTGTCAGGATCCTCCTCCCGGGAGGACCCTGGGCACGTGGCGCCCCAGACTCTCTCACGCCCACTCTCTCCGGCTTGGCAGGTCTGCCAAGGGCTTCGGGCCTCAGGGTCCAGATGTGATGAGCCCGGCCATGATTGCCCTCTCCAACAAGCTGAAGCTGAAGCGACAGCTGGAGTATGAGGAGCAAGCCTTCCAAGACATGAGTGGGGTGAGCCATCTCCTGGGGCCATTGCCGCAGGTTCCCTCCCCGGCCCTGGGGAAGGCTGGGTGGGAGCCGGGGCTGAATGTAGAGAACCCAGGCTGACAGGGAGGGTCTCTCAGAGCAAGCAGGGCCCACCTCACCCCGGCGCAGTTTGGGACTGGGTTCTCTGGCCTCTCCCTCTATGTCTGCGCTTCCACATGCAGGGGGATCCGCCAGGCAGCAGCACCTCACATTTGATGTGGAAAAGAATGAAGAGTCTCAGGGGTGGTGGGACCTGCTCTCTGATGCCGGACAAGCTGCCAAATGCAAACGTCCCTAATGGTGAGTGCAGTCCTGGGCCGTGGCGGGGTGGGGTTGGGAGGGGGCATTTGCCACTGAAGCTAGGGTTTTAGCTCCGGGCTCACCCTGGTTCCTGTCTCTCACCACCTGAGGGTGACATCGTCAGAAATCTCTGGGCTTCTCCCGTGGAGGAAGAGGGATGCCAGGGGTGTCACAGTCTGTCCCCTCACTCTGACATCGGCCTTTTCAGATGAGTTCATCCAGAATCCCGTGAGGGGCAGGAGCCAGCCCCTGAGACACTTACCACCACCACAGCCTCCGTCTGCCCCTAGCCCGGGGGAGCCCGCCAAGAGTGGGTTCCCCCCGCAGTGTTACGCCCCCCAGTACCAGGACTACAGCCTACCAGCGGCTCACAAGATGTCAGGTGGGTGCACTCAGGACCAGGAGTGCTGTGCCAGGGCCTGGGGGCTGTGGGAGGGTGGGAGCCAGGGGGTGGAGAAGGTGGCAGGTCTCAGCACAAGGATGAACTTGCTCATGCAAGGCAGCTGCGCCTCGAGAGGGGTGAGCCCTCCTATCCCCGGAGGACCACAGCAGAGACTGGAAGGCCGCCTGTCCACAGAGCTGTAGAAGGAGCCCTCCAGTGACTAGGTGACATTCAGGGCTATACCACTGTCCGAGTCCCAGAGCCTATGCCTTTTGCTCAGTTCTTCATGTTACTGTAATGCCTGATGCAGTGACCTACTGGGGCATCATGCTGAGATGAGGACGCAGTGCTGGGAGGACGGCCAGGCTTTCCCTTGGAGGGGTCCCTCTGCTGGACCTTGCTTTCTGGGAGGACTGGCCACCCGATGCCTGCCTCTTACCCCCCTTAGTCTTTCAGCATCCTATGAAATATATTGTCACGAAGAGGTTGCTATGTAAACAGGAACGTAATTCATACTTTGGGTGAAACATACCAAACTCCTGCCCTAAAAGAGGGTCATTTCTTCAGCACTATGGTTTGGGACAGACTGCTGTTCAGTGTTTCAGAGTCCAGGCTTTAGAGTCACAAGATAGTCCTGGGCTTACATTCCAGCTTTGCTTCTTACCTAACTTAGGTTGAAGTAGCAGCCCACACATTTAATTTAGAGGCTTGCATGCAAAGTGTGGGCTTCCCTGGTGGCTCTGTGGGTTAAGAATCCACCTGCTAATGCAGGAGACTCAGATTCGATCCCTGGGTCAGGAAGATCCCCTGAAGAAGGGAATGTCAAACTACTCCAGTATTCTTGCCTGGGAAATCCCATGGACAGAGGAGCCTGGTGGGCTACAGTCCATGGGTTTGCAAAACTGACCATGCCCACACCTGTGCAAAGTGTATATGTTCGTGTATATGTTTGTATGAAGTTGTAGTCAGCATTATTATCCCTGCTGTGAACCCATGAGTTTCCTTGAATAGAAACTCATTCTTTTCAGGAGAAAATAATTTTTTAAATTTAGGTCAGTTCTGAGGGTGAGTAAAAGAAGAGGGGATTAGAAAAGGATGATGAGCAAGTACCCCTTTATACTGTGGGGCTGCAGACAGCCATGAGACACACCCAGTCCACAGGAGAGCAAGGATGAGTGGGGAAGGCAGGCATGGACCCTAGGAGGTGGCTAAGATGCGGGCTGAAGGAAGAGAGGGCCCGGGGCTGAGATGCTTCACGTAAGTCAGGAAGGGAAGCAGGGACTCACATCACTGGGGCCGGTGAAGGGCTTCTGGGTCTGCCTCCAGGCACCAGGCCCTCTCTTCCCTGGAAGTGGGAGGTGGGGGTTGAGCTAGGAATGTCCCCTTATCTTCCTTCTCAGCAGGAGAGGAGCAGCCAAGGGTGGGGATCCTGAAACTGAAAGTCAGGCCTTTGAAGGACCCATGTGTGTGTGTGTGCAAAAGCATATATGTATGTACGTGTCCATGTGCTTGTGGCACCTGTGTATGATGTGAGTGTGTGTAAATGTGTGTGCAGGTGTGTACAGGCACCAACTGGTTCAGAGCTCCATCTCTCTGCTCGGCCTCCCCTCCAGCTGCCAGGGCACAGGGGGCAGGGCTCAGTCAGCAACTCCGCGCCTTGCCCAGGCACTGGCTCACACCTCCACTCCCAGGCCAGGAAGCCTTCGTGGGGACTCCTTCCACCCACCCTCCCCGTCCTCTCTGCACTGCGCACTGTCCCCACCTTGGGTCTCAGCCCCTCACCTGATGAGAGAGGTGAGCATGCTGTCTGCTGGGTCCCTGCTCCGAGCTCGTGGTAGGTCACTAGGGAAAGACAACCCTGAAGAGTGAAATGAGGGCTGCCCCACTGTGCCCCGGAGTCATGGCAACTGGAAGTGCCTCTTGCTCTGCGAACCCGCTGCATCCCTGCTCGCCTTTTAGGGAACAGACCTGCCCCCCACGGTTGACTCAGGGTTTTTAAACGACAGCACTAACTCTCTATTCAGGCATGGCAAGCCGGCTGCTCGGACCCTCGTTTGAGCCTTACCTGCTGCCGGAACTGACCAGATATGACTGTGAGGTGAACGTTCCTGTTCCGGGAACCTCCACGCTCCTCCAAGGAGGGGATCTCCTCCGAGCCCTGGACCAGGCCACCTGAGCCGGGGCCGCCCACCGACAGGCACCCTTCCCACGCCGTCCCACCAGCTTCACGTTCTCCGTCTGTTTTTTGCAACTAGGTATTTCTAACACCACCACACTTTTTACAAGATATACTTACCTGGCAAACTTGTCCAGGTCACTGAGTAGTGGCCTTTTTCTGAAGATGCTCACTTTATTATCCATATTTTTAAAATATAATTGTTTTACCTGCTATGTTTTGCTCTGTCAATGGAAATGTTCTTAAATTTTATAAGATTTTTCTTTCCCCAAATTCTAATTTATAATATTCATGGGTCTGTCTCACACACACACAAACAATATTCATATTAACAAGTTTGGTGTATGTTTGTTCTCTTTTCAGGAAAGCTTTGGCTTCATTTAACTAAAAAAGATTTTGTTGTTGTTGCCAAAGAGAAACAAAATAATCTTGCTTTCTAAGCTTGATTTTTGGCCTCTATCTCTCAGCCCTCCTTTCTTTTTTAAGACTAATCACTGTATTGTAAATTTCCATCTTTTTTTTTTTTTTAAGCCAACTCTTTGCTCTAATTTTAATATGACTTTTGGGGGTAAAAAAAGAAATGTGAAGGGTAAACTCCATTGTGTGTGGTTATCTATGAAAGTTGCACAGTATGGCTTTTCTTAAACTGGTGTTTTTCCCCTGCATTTGGTGGATTTTTTTTTAATTATTATTATTCAAAAGCATAACTGAGTTTTTTAAGAAAGAAAATTTATATCTGGGTTAAGTGTTTATCATATATATGGGTACTTTGTAATATCAGAAACGGAAATGGAATCCTGCTCACAAAATCACTTTAAAATCTTTTTTTAAGCTGTTGATCTTTTTCCTGATGTTGCTGACACTGCAGAATTGTACAGAACTCCCACAGGCCTGTACTAACCTTGCTCAAGGTCTCTCTCTGTTGGCTTTTTGCTTTCGGGATATGCCATAGGCGTGACAAATAATCCAGAAAGTGGAATCATTAAGTGGGAGCATTGCGAGCTGTCTTCTCCTCGTGTTCTATATGTATTTTGTATGTATGTATGTATGTATTATTATTACTGCCAAGAGGGTCTGATGGCACGTCAGGGGTGGGGGTGGGATGATCTAAGGGAGGGGAAGTGCTTTAACTCTTCTTAAGATTTTGTTGCCAGCCCTTCAAGTGCACTGAGCTGTGTGACTCTAATGGTCTCTCATGTGGCATTTGGATACTTCCAGAACACCATGAGGTGGTTTAAATGGGAATTCATGAAACGGTGCAGATTCAGAAACAGTACAGCGATCCAGTGCACGTCCAGCTCACCACCGTGGAGCCCATGGAGTTGAACCGGGGGTGGGGTGAAGGTGCAGAAAGGGGGCCCTTGGTCCTGACCAGCCTCATCCTCATGCCCCTTCCCCATGGGGCCAGGCCCTCAGATCACCCTGCAATATCAAGGTGCAGCAAGCAGACCTCCGGGGATGGCCCCTGGGCCTCCTTGAGGTCTGTCTGTTCCCAGAAGTGACATATATAGGTAGGAAGCACTGAAAACAGTCTCCTAAAAGTGCCTTGTAACTCACCAGGTAAGAGGGACAGTATCACTTGTTTTCAAAATACTAGCCACATGGAACTTTTCCGTCCTGGGTACAACGACGACGTTTCTAGAAACACACAAAGCGAAACACAGCAAATCGAGAATCTGGTAAGCTGGATGAGCTTATTGCCCAAAACAAAATAATATTTAAGTTTCAAAAGAAAAATTGCCTAGTCACTGTGTTGCCCAAATTGTACTTTAGCACCGCAGCCCTGCCGCACGCACAGTGGGCTGCAGAACCTGAAGGGCTACTGACGTGTAAGCGCTGGTGTTTGATTTTCTGTGTTTGCCTCAGCATTAAGGGCATTTTACCCTTGCAGTTTTACTAAAACACTCTGAAAAATATTCCAAGCTTCATATTAACCTTATCTATCAACATAATGATTTCGTGAACATTATTATTTTGTCCAATTCCTACTGACAACGTTATTACTATATGGGAGCTTAACTTTATAAGGAAATGTATTTTGACACTGATATCTTATTAAAGTATTCTGATCCTACCACTGCTGGTGGCTCTTGTTTCTGGTGGATTGATCATGGGTTACACTGATATAAAGTGAACTATTGAGTAGTTTACAGAAAATGAACATGGGCACTGATCTTTGTGAGACAACTGACAGGAAGCTGGATGAAGAAAAAAAGGCTATTATTAAACCTTTCCAACTGTCTAAGACCAGGAAGCCAGGCTACATCATCCATATTTCTGCAGGTGTTGTTCTGTCTGCCACAGGCCTCTTTTTCTGTATTCTGGAAGGGCACCAAGAAAAGAAATCATGATCCCTGGCTTCAGAAATTTACGGGAAGGATTTTGAGAAATAAAAAAATTTTCAAATGCAGGTGGCTTAGGAGTAGGTGGGCTTCCCTGCTAAAGAATCTGCCTGCAGTGCAGGAGACCTGGGTTTGATCCCTGGGTTAAGAAGATCCCCTGGAGGAGAAAATGACAATCCACTCCGTTATTCCTGCCTGGAAAATCCCACAGACAGAGGATCCTGGTGGGCTACAGTCTGCACGCAGTCATTTCAGTTGTATCCGACTGTTTGCAACTCTATGGAATATTGCCCACCAGGCTCCTCTGTCCATGGGATTCTCCAGGCAAGAATACTGGAGTAGGTTGCCATTTCCTACTCCAAGGGATCTTCCCAACTCAGAGATCTAACCTGAATCTCTTATATCTCTTACGCACTGGCAGGTGGGTTCTTTACCACTATGGTGTTGCAGAGACACAACTGAGTGACCGACACTTAGGAGTAGGTGTGTGCATACATGGCCAGGTGTGCAGGGGCAGCAGCCTGCAAGAATTAACAATCGATCAGCCACTGGGGTTCCTCCTGACTCTAGATGCATTCTCCTCCAGGCATGCAAAACTCACCTTCCCAGAGCTTACCTTGCCTAACAGCCTCCAGATGAGAAGTCCCTCTTTTGAGGGCTGGGGACACGCAGACCCAAAGCTGAGGAAGGAGGCAGCCCCACTTGGTGAAGAAGGGCCAGCCGTGGCTCCCTGTGATCTGAGTGGGGCGAATTTACCCTCTCCTGAAGCATGGTCTCTAATGAAGATTTCAAACTGGAGTTGAGGGGTCAAGTGTGGGTTTCACTAGAGATACACCACAGGCCCATTTCCTTCATAACATACAAGATTCAACCCTCTGTAGCCCTGTTCTCCTCAGTCCCTGCCCACCCTCTGCTTTATGTGAAAAAGAATTTTTAAAAATTTTTATTCTTTTTGGCCACATTTCATGACACATAGGATCTTAGTTTCCCAACCACGGATTGAACCCATGCCTCCAGAACTGGAAGCACAGAATCTTTTTTTTTTTTTTTTTGGGGGGTGATNGGGCGGTGGCGGCGCTGCAGGGAGCACAGAGTCTCAACCACTGGACTGCTAGGAAAGTCCCCTAAAAAATTTCTATCAGGAGGCCTGCAGGTTAACCAGGTTCTTCCTGTCTTGAGACAGGGGTATCCCCAGTAAGACAGCAGTACTGGATGTACTAGTCCCAGATGGACTCAAGGTGCTAAAACAGGCCTGGAAATGATGTAGCCCAAACTTGTCATCTATTTTTTGCAACCTCTTCATTCTAGAGATGAGAACACTGAGGCCCAGAGAGACAAAGGGGACTTGCCTGCTGTCACATGTGAGTGAACAGCAGGGCTGGGTGCAGAACCCAGGCCAGCATCACAGGGACTGAGGCCAACTTCACCATATGCGAAAGGGACCACATCCTTGCCCCATGACATCAGGTCTCAATTTCCCAGCCAGTGCACAGGCCCTTCCCACCCACAGCCCTTCCCTCTGCCATCTCACAGGCCCCGGCCTCTGTCTCCCCCGCAGGGCACTTTCAGTTCCTCTAAAATGATCACTATCACAGCATCACCCCATTTCTTTAAACTATTCTGTTGAGCTCAGTGACCCTTGGAGGAACTGCTTGGCCTCTCTGTGACCTTGGTGAAAACTAAACCACCTCCTTCATTTCTAGACTGAAGCTTCCTTGGCCTCCCAGACCCCAGGAAAAAGGGGTTTTGAGGTACTTCTCTACCCACACCCTACCACACACACAGAAGGGTTTTGTGTTTTTTTGTTTTGTTTAATGATACTTATTTGGTAAAGTCATGGTCTCTCCCAGAGTTTACCAGCTAGTAAAGGAAACCACCCTGGCTAACTCAGATTCCTGTATGCCTGTGTATGATGAAGCCCACAGCCCACATTTTCCCAGGCAGTCCTAGTCACAGACATCACGTCTCAATGTCCCCCCAAGTGTGCTTGTACACACTGGGTACTGACCCCCATCTTGGGTTCAGAAAACAAGAATCTTATAGATACAAATGAGCCTTCAGTTGCTTTAGGGTGAACCCCAGGTCCTAGGGAAGTTCAAAGGAGGCCAGGACAGATCAGTGTGGACCCCAATCAGACCTGGGAAGAAAGAGGATGCAGAGGAAGGTGGGGGGTCATTCTAGGAGATGTGGATGGACAAGGGGGACAAAGGCACAAAGTCAGAATGAGCAGTCATGCAGGAAACCCTGGGATCAGGTGGGACCAGGAGCTGGGATGGAAGGTGGGGTGCGGGCAGCCTGGCCACTCCCAGCACCGGTCTGGAGTCAGACAGACCTGGATTCAAATCCTGGCTCTGCTGCTTCTAGCCGAGTAACCTTGGGGAAGCCCCTTCATGTCTGCTAGCCTGTGTCTGCTTTCCTGTGAAAGGAGTATGATAACAGTTCCTACCTTGTAGGGGTGAGGCTGGAGATACGGATTTGGGGGTTGCCCGTAGGGTAGCTGTACTTAAATCCCTGAGACAGGATGCACTATACCCAGGAGGTAAGAGCACAGAGAAACAACAGAGCCTTAAGACAGAGCCCTAACCATGGCAATGCTGGTAGAAGCCCAGGAGAGGAGCTGCCCGCAGAGAGGCTGGTGGAGGAGCAACAAGTAGGAAAAAAAATAAGATTTCAGGGCTTCCCCGGTGGTTCAGTGGTAAAGAATCCACGTGTCCGTGCAGGAGACACAGGTTCAATCCCTGGTCCAAGAAGATCCCACGTGGAGCGGAGCAAATAAGCCCATGTGCCACAACTTCTGAACCCATGCACCGCAACTACAGAAGCCTGATCACCCTAGAAGCCCGTGCTCGACAACAAGAGAAGCCACCGCAATAAGAAGCCCGCACATTGCAACTAGAGAGTAGCCCTCGCTCACAACTAGAGAAAAGCCCACACAGCAATGACGACCAGCACAGCCAAAAATTAATCAATCAAAAAAAACCCCACAGGATTCCAGTATTCCATATGCCAAGACAAGACAGTTTTTTTCAACAAGTAGGAATAGTTAACTGGGTCACATACTAAACTGAAAGGTCACGTAAAATGAGAAGGAAAAAAATGACTCTGGGGTTTGGCAATACAGAGATCATCACTGACCTTGACCTGCTGTATAGCACAGTATTACTATACTGGGGAACTCTACCCAATATACTGTGATAACCTCTATGAGAAAAGAATCTTAAAAAGGAATGGATATATGTAAATGTATAAAATGAATCACTTTGCTATACACTTGAAACTAACACAACATTGTAAGTCAACTACAATAAAATTAAAGTATAAAAAAATAACAAAGGCCTACTTACAGCAGAGAGAACTACTTTCAATACCCTTTGATAAACCATCATGGAAAAGAATATGAAAAAGAACATATATCTATGTATATGGATAACTGAATACTTTGCTCTACAGCAGAAATTAATACATTGTAAATCAACTATACATCGATAAAATAATTTTTTTTAAAATTTCCCTGTGAAGGGAAGCAGAGAAATGGAGTGGAGTGGGCAGAAGGGGTCAGGGGAAGTTTTTTGTAAACACTTAATGAACTTTTATTTTAGAATCATTTTAGATTTACAGAAAAATGCAAGAATATTAGACAGAGTTCCTGCACTGAATTACCCCTGTCGCTAACTTTTCGATGGCACTTATGTTACCACTAAGGAACCAATATTGGTATTATGTTTTCTATTATATAGAATCTGTATTTTATTCAGACTTTAGTTTTTACCTTTTTTTCCTATTCCAGGATCCCAGCCAAGAGACCACGTCATATCCAACTGTCAAGCGTCCTTCAGCTTCCCTAGACTGACAGTTTCATGGCCCATCATAATAGTTATTCAGATCATCTGTGTTGTTGATGACCTTGACAGTTTTGAGGAGTGCTAGTCAGATATTCTTATAGAATAGCATCCTTTGATTTGGATTTGTCTGATGTTTTTCTCATGGTCAGAGAAACACTGTGGGTTTGAGGGAGGAAGACCACAACAGTGCCATTGTCATCACCTCATATCAAGGGTAACATACTCTCAATGTGACTTATCACTGATGATGTTAATCTTGATCACTCAGCTGAGGTCACCTTTTTCAGAGTGCTCCACTGCAAAGTTACTGATTCTTTAGGGGCAGTTTTTTAAAGATGAGCTACATTAGGAAATGTTTGTGTTGTGATGGCAGAAAGGAATGTTTCTAAGAGAGTGACTATTATGATAGACCATGAAAATGAAACTGTGTGAGAAGGGAAGAAAAAATATGAAGAGGTTGATGGTCAGTGAAAAAAGTAGGCTCAGTGAATTAGAGGTCCTAATGAGGTCAAAGAGAGGTCAGAGTGAGGTGTAGAAAGAAGGAATCATGCAGATAATCATTGTCAGAGGAGGGGAAAGTTAAAATTGGGGCATCACGTATACTTACACATGACCCAGCAATACCACTTCTAAGTATTTATCAAAGAAATGAAATTTTTAAATTAAAAAAAAAATTTGCCCACAAATATTTAAAGCAGTATTGTTTGTATTCACCACAAACTGGAAACAACCCAAATGTCCTTCAACAGAAGTATAAATTAAAAAAAAAAGAAAACTGCTTCATTGATAGCATAGACTACCACTCAGCAATCAAAGTTTTAACACATTTGATTCAGGTAGCAACATGCATGAGTTGCAAAAGTATTGTGTTGAGTAAAAGAAGCCAGTAT